TATTAAAATACTTCACTGTCAATAAATGAAAAAAAATGCCTTTAAATATTAACTGACACTGATCTCTACTATATAGATCAGCATACTTATAGGAAATAAAAGAAAATATAACAAAGAATTATTTTATCATTACAGAAAAAATACACACCTTGACTTTCATCAGTTTTAGAACCAAAGTGAGAGAGGCTAGGAACAAGTGAAACAGCACCTTTTAACGGAGTCAATATAAGAGAGCCATGAACCATTGTTCCTACAGCATAACTTTCTAAATCAATTTCTGCTTTCTTTGATTCAAGCCTCAAATGGTCCATGCATTTTCTAGAAAAAATAAAATAAAATAAATTGTATATAATTTTAAGTCAGTCTATATTGCCTGCCTTGAAGGAAGTTAATTGGGATCATTTTAATTGTTATTAAAATTAATATAGCATTAACTAGATCTCGAATTCCACTTGCTAGGCTCATCAGGAAATAAACAAATGGAAGCACACTAAAAAGTGTATAAACTATTTAAGTAAAGTTTTCAATTAATCTTCTCTCATCTAGTTTATTGATTTATATATAAAACTCTATAGGCTATCAGCATCTAAATTTAAAATTCGGCCATTCTACCAAATCCTTTTCAGTGCAAAGCACAGGTCTTTCTCAGTTCACTTTTCATAAGTTGAAATTCAGAAATGAAAAAAAGTGAGACAACAGCAGAACTCTAAAGCAGCTTGTAATTATTATCCCGATTTTAATTAGATAGGACCAGTAGATAGTTTGCTAAAGTTATAAATTGTGCTCTAAATAAAGGAATGTATACCGTTACCATAGAAATAGAAATAGAAAAATCATCTTTATTCTGGGACTAGGTCCCTTTAGAATAACAGTATTGTTCATATATATTAACTACAAATCTGGTCAAAAGACTTATTACAATGAATAATGACAAAATACATGTAATACATTAAGTATTAATTAAGCTCTTAGGATAAATTAACGAGGACAGTTTGGTAATAGGGGTTCAGTACTACAATATTGGAGCTAAAATAATTGCATAATAATCACTGAATGAAATTATGAAGGAAAGTAAAATCTATTTTATAGGTAAAGCATTGTAGTGATGGAATATAAAAATTTAAAAAAATAATAATAACTGTTAATATGAAAGAAATTGTAAAAACTAAAACAAAAAAATATATAAAAAAACAAATAATCATATACATATGTTCCCTAAGATATTTAAGTGATTATGCGTAAAGATTAGGAGAAGAGAAAATAAAATAAAGTATATGTATACACATAGCGAGAAGTATGTTGAAGATAATTAGAAATAAAATACATTTCACTGAAATACATTCCATGAATAACAAATTAGAACTTAAGGAAAACAAATTTTATCTACTCACAATGCTTAGTGAGTGGTGATGAAAATTCACGTTCAACACAGAATAAAACAATAAAAAATAAGAGAAAAAAATAATGTCTAAAGAAAATTAAATCCTTATAACATAGTATGTATTTAACCAGCGTCTGATTGGATTGTGAAGAGGAATTGGAATAAGAGGGTTTTAAAGGTGGATAAGGATGATGCATGGAGGATTTTTAGTGGGATGGAATTCCAGAATGCGGTGGAACGGACAACGAAGGAATGTTTAAATGATGCAGATCTGTGGAAAGGAGTGTAAAGGTCAGAAGGACGAGATCTTGTGGAGAGGGTGTGGATAGAGGATTTGAATTGTAGGAGATTGTATGCGTAGGACGGACGATGACTATTGATTATTTGGTAAAGGAATGTGCCTAGGAAATATTGTCTTCGGAAGGAAGGGAAGAGCCATCCTAATTCAGCATAGTGGTGCGAAACACAGGAATACCTCAGGGCCCCTGTGACAAATCTTACGAAGGCATTCATAATTCTTTTCAGTCTCTCTCCGAGTTCTGCCGAGAGGCCACCGTACACCACGCAGCCGTAATCAAGGTGGGGGAAGATGAGGGAAGTTACTAGGAGTCTACGTGTGGAGATGGGTAGGAGATGGCGGAAGCGATGGAATAGTTTCAAGGTACCAATTGACTGTCGGGTAATGTGAACAATATGGTGTTTCCAGGATAGGGTTTGGTCTATGAAAATGCCTAAGTTTTTTACTGAGGAGGTGAAGGTAATGGGATGGTCATTTAGGTACAGTATAGGTATGTTGGTATTGGCTCTGAGAAGGGGTTTGGAACCAATGACAATGGCTTGAGTTTTTGCAGCGTTTAACCTTAACCCATTTAAGTTTGCCCAGGCACTGATCCGATTCAAGTCTTCTTGAATTTTGGCAAACGCTTCATGCAACTCTGAGGGATGGAAGGAAAGGTAGATTTGGGAGTCATCGGCGTAAAGGTGATGGGAGCAGTGAAGGATTGAATTACATACATACATACGTACACTCCTCTCAGAATCTCATTTAAAGCTTGATCATGGTAACTCAGCAGTGGTACTTGTTTTCACTTGTACAGCCGTACCAAATTTATTACTGCTTTTATAAGTTGGGACTATAGTTTCTGCTTGAAATGAGTAAAATCGCCCCACAACAGATCCTTAACAGTAGAAATGTTTTTGGAATAAACTGACGATATCTTCCTGTTTTATTGTTACCATTAACAACATTTGATTGTAAGTCAACATATTAATAATAATTTCCATAATTAGCAATTGTTTATTACCAAATTATATTGTTATGAGGATGTATAGAAATGGAATATTTTTATAATATATTTTATTTAAACCTTAAAGTAACTTCAGAAATATTAATATTCTTGTGAAACATAAATTTTATTACGCTCTCCAAAATTAAATTTTTTTTTTCAAATCTTTAATTTTATTTTCCTAATTGTTTAATATTTAAGATATTGTTTCAAAATTAAAAAAGTGCTATTATTAAATATTGTATAAAAATTAAACTAAAAAAAATTAATATTAAAACAGTTAAATATCATAATATATTGTTATTTTGCCAAAAAAAAGAAAAAAAATCAAGGGAGAGTGGAGGGCAGATGCCCTTCCACACACATACACAGGCCCCCCTTAAACCAAAAGCGAACCTAAATATTGTATTGCCCAGGGCCTCTCAAGGTCTCAAATCTATATTATAATGATTTTTAATTATCATGTATTGAAATTCAAAAAGTACGTTGGATTTGGAATCTTATGGAGAGGAAGACGCAAACTCCACTTTTCTCATCCTAGTCGTCTCCCACCGATAGCCAGGATGGATCATCTGTTGGTTACGGGAAGTTCTAGTGGTAACATGTATACAGTAGTTAGAAAAGCATAGAATGGATGAAGACCATCTTCAATTGATGGAGCAGTATATTACAAAATATTTTATACTAATAGATTACATCAATTTAAATTTTATTTTGTTCATAAATGCGTTATTTATTACATAGAATATTAGATGTATCGATGCCGTTCATTTGATCCTTGACATTCACAATCCATAAACCAATTAAGCTCTCAGCATCCATTAAATTTATAATAACATAAAAATTTTAAATTAATATTTTTTAAAAATTCATTTATAATAATATATCAACAATATATATGATTTAATATTGTTCAACATACCCATTACACATGCTATTATATTGGCACTCTTTCAATAATACTGAAGGAGCTTTGATATAATTGATATCAATGCAGCCCTTAAGCGGTCAATAAACTGATGAATAGATATTGAGCGTGTAAGAGGCCCTTTACATATTGCTACTGTTAGTGTAAAAGGTTATTTATATTGTAAAAAATTGAGTTTTTTTTTTTTACAGAAGTGCATGAAAAATTATAATTTTTTAGTATAATTTCATACTTTATTTCCCTCTGCTGTTTTCTATGATAGCAGACTACTTAATGGTGTTGCGAACTACAAAATGCCAACTTTAACACAAATAGAATAAACATGGAGAAGTGTTACATATGACCTTTGGCACAAAAAGTAGCGATATACAGATATAATATGATCTAGGTCCACGCTCTATCCCTACAAAATAATAAAGGATTGAAACCAAACAATATACAAAAGCAGTTAATAATAATTACACTTACGATGCAAATGATTTAACAGTGGCTTGTTTATCTTTGTCAGCATTAAGAGCAATTTGTTCCCCATGACTTCGGTCATAATTATGGCTTTTAGAATCTAGGCCTAGTTCTAAAATAACTTCTTGATTCTCTGGTTTGATCTGGCTCTGTAAGTTAATTATTATTGATTAATTATGAAACATTATTAAAAAAACACATTAAGTGAAAAATGTCAACGAAAATAAGAAGCAGTGAAAATGAAACGAAGTATACCTTAAAAACATTTAATTTACTTGAAGGAGATGTAATAGGAAGAGCAGGGTATTGAAAAATGAACAGTTTGTCTTCTAAATCACGGGATAAATAAACAGGTATCTGCAAAAAAACAAACAAAAAACAGTGAAACAACTGCGAATTCAACAAAGAAATGTACTTATGTTTAATTGTCATTCCATAATAGTAGCATGTGCATGATCAATTAAAAATATTAGTGATGAAACTGTAAAAGGGGGAAATACCTCACTTATTACAGGGTCGTCATCATCATTGATCATTTTAAATTACTGAACGAAAACGTCAGAAATCAACCATAACTAAGGACTCCACTGAAATAACTCAACTACAAGTCCTAACCACCATATAACCCACCTTCATAACTAAAACTGCCCTTCTCTAAGAACGATCTTATTGACAGTGTTGACTTGAACCATTCCATGCACCATCCACTCTTGTTCTTTTTTTAATTTGTAGAGATTTTAAAAATTTCATTATAAATTTATAAAAATAGAAAATAGGTATTGGTTTATCTAAAAGAATGTTTTTATTATAACTATTAAGGATTTCGCCTCGTTCCAGTCGTTTTAGCCTGAAGAAGAAAATTAAAAATTATTTCTTTTATGTAAAGTATAAAACAGACACATTGGATGTAGATGAATTAAGAAAAAATAGTCTGTTGTTAAAATTGATACCAAGGAAGACCTAATATGAAGTTGATAACCACTTGTTGTTCGTTGATTGTTGTCAATGGTTTTACGACTTGTAATTTATATATCTTTTGTGCAGAATGTTTTTATCAGATGAAAATAATGATAATGGGAATTCAAACGATGAGGCCTATTTAAATGAAAATGAAATCTGGCCTATTTCCGAGTGTATATTTTGTAATAAAAAGTTAACTTCCAAAAGTGAATTTAAACGCTCAAAACTTTTGCAATGTTTACATGCAATTTGTTACAATTGTTTTATCGGTTGGGATGATAAAGGTTTGTTATATTGTTAAAATTATAACTAATTGTTAATTAAAATAATTGTGATTATAATTATTAAACATTTGCTACTTTTTATTTTTCCAACCAAAAATACAAACTTTTAAGTGTCCTTTAGTACAGTAACTGTAGTTACAAATTGAATCAAGTTGGTTTTAAATTTATTTTGCTTAGCCTTTGTAATTTTGTTAAATTTTATCGGTCTTTTACTATTCTTAACTTGGAGGTGTGATATTTTATAGTAAGTATATCGCTCTTTTACTTTCCTTTTAATTAAGCCTCTGTTAAACTATTAAAGTGCCCCTAAATAGATTGAAGTTTGCTTCATAGGAATAATTGTTAATTCAAAAACAATTCGCTACCACCTTCATGAACATGATCTTAATTAAAGAGATTCCTTTGAAGAATTAAGGTGGCTTAGTGCATAACCTAAATGATATAGACAACTAGAAACAGCCACATTCTAGGTTGTTTTTAGTCGGTCCTTAAGAAAGAAGTAGCAAAATACGGTGCTGTTTTACCAATGTTACTCCACCGATCCACCTAGAATGTGGAATATCCAACTTAAAGCGGTTCTGCAAAATACTGCTAAAATCATACAAGGTATCTAAGGAAAACTAACGTGAGGTACCATTTCACAAGTGTCACGTCTATTTCATATAGCCGTAATCTTCAGTTTATCAGGTTGTTGGGCAATGTGTATTTTGCACACGTTAGCTCGCTTGACCAACCTATCACTTGTCATATTAGCATACTCTAGATGAAATTCTGGAAGTAGCTGTGTGACAACTAAGTTAACAGATGGGCTTGCTTTACTTGCTCAAAGGGATAAACAACTCCCACATGTCCATTTTTGTTAGATCAAGTGAAGATGGATCTTATCAATTGTTCACCATAATTTATTTTCTATAATTTAATTATAAGAAAGTTTTAGAAATTAGTGGTATCTTTATTCTTCCAAACATATTCAACTATTTTTAAGATTTGAGAAGGAGTTAGTCGAGAGTGCGGTCAAATAAATAAAAAAATTAAAATATATAAATAATAATAATATATGGCAAAAATTAAAATTATTTATATATTTTAATTTTTTTATTTATTTGACCGCACCCTCGACTAACTCCTTCTCAGGCAAAAATTAAAATTATTTATATTTTAATTTTTTTATTTATTTGACCGCACCCTCGACTAACTCCTTCTCAGGCAAAAATTAAAATTATTTATATATTTTAATTTTTTTATTTATTTGACCGCACCCTCGACTAACTCCTTCTCATATCATATCAACGGTCAACCATCTCTACATCATTATTTTTAAGATTCCATGTATAACATAATTAATTTTGTCTTGACTGACCTGTTAATCAAACATGACACATGAAACAGTACGTGGGGCTCACTGTAAATTAAACACACGTCTCTTTAAACTGAAGTGGTGAGGATTGCAGAGGATGCCCCTTGGTTTGTGAGAAATAGTCAACTCCATCGTGAACTTCAAATAGAAACAATAGACGAATTTATCAAAAAATGCTTTACCAAATATTCTCAGTTACCCACAGTTAAAGTACTTTATTTATTGTATTTTATTTTATTTACTTTACAAACTTTACTAGTCCATAGTTATAGCTATTATGTAACGTTAGGAGACTCTTTTGTATGAGACTATAGCCCCGCTTTACCAATTGTTAAAAAATGACCTATTGCTAATAAGTCTATGTATGGCTCACTAAGCCGATCTGGAAACAATGAATAAGAATTTTAAAAAGTGGTATGGATGACTTTTCGTAGATCCTTTTGTACTGAGGAAGGATCTGTAACTGACAAAAGATTTTTCAGTTTTGTTTTAATCTTGTTTATGACATTCTGAATATTGAGAAGACAGATTATTAGAAAGACATACCCTTGTTAGTTGAAAGTTTAGCCTGCTCTAGGTTCCCAAACTAACCTCATTCATTTATAATTGATTTTAAAATGAAAAAAACATGTTAGTGGTAAGGAACTGATTAATAACTAACTGATGGAGGGTCAAAGATAGAAAATCTATTTTCTTTTAAAAAATCTATTCTATAAGCCATGGTTCGACTGTGGGGTAGTTAGAATGTTCGGGGTATACAACAGTAACTCTAAAATAACTAATTCTTCAAGGGGATGGGGATATCTGTTTATTGAATCTGGATGCTGACCACATCTACTCTGCGTAACTGTTCGTTGTGAAAAAGTATTTCCTTAACAAAGACCTACCCCAAGACCCTTTATGAATTTTTGTGGTACAGCTTTTTGTTTATTATTTTGTTATATATTTTTTTTTTTGTAATAGTTATAGTATTTGTTTTTTCATTGTTCAGTTTTTTAATTTATAATTATTTGTTTTTAGTCGACAAGCAGTGCAGTGTTTGCAGTTTTTACTCTAAGAAGAAAGATGTTACCGAAAACAAAGTTCTTGCTGAAATGGTCACTGATGAAGAGGAAACGTCTAATGAAGACGTTTGTACCATCCACAATGCTCCAGTTACACACTGGTGTATTGATTGTGCAGAATTAATTTGTCAAGATTGTGTAAATGTGTGTTATCATTTTTTTCTATACTTTTGTCCTATCTTTTTTTTTGCTGGCATCCAGCCAATTTTCATTATTGATGTTTTTAGCACCACGGACAGTTAAAATCTACCCAGAATCATAAAATTCAAACTCACAAGCAATACCTTCATGATAAATCATGTTCTCAGAGATCTATTTTCCCTTGTAATGTTCATCCTCAGGTAATATTTAAAAAAAAAATTAAAATTAATTGATTGTAAGTTGGTTATACTCTCTATTCTTACAAATATTTTTATTTGAACATTTTAGTTATTAATGGCAATCATAATTATCCAGAACCAGTTTTATGAGATTAATCATTTTAATAATTTGGTTTTTGACTATAGTTAAATATGTCATTAGTTTATCCCATAAAGTCATTAAGTGACATTTCATAACTTCAAAGAATTAAGAACTGTGATGAATTTTATCTTTGTAATATCAGAATATCAAAAATGCACTGAGTGACTTTTTGTAATAAACTGATGATATATAAATATTAATGATATTCTTATGATTATTTTCTAGTTATGATGTTTTTAATGTACCATTAGCATCCAATTGATGTATTACTGATCGTCTGTGTATAAAAATATATGATAAATGTATAGATCATTAATGTATCATAAAAATTTGATATAATGATAATCAATTATTCAAAATAATACTTAAATACACTATTTCCATTCCAGATGAAAATTTGGAATGATCCTTAATTAGATCTTTTTTTTTTTTTAAAGTTTATTTAATCATAACATTAAACAACTATCACTAACAACCCACCAACTAGCAATGCAAGTCACATTGTTTGAAATTATTCAATATTATTAATAATTATTAAGCTGGCCACTACCGACCATACCATGTGGAATGTGGAAAGACCGTGAGGATGAAAACCTTTGAGTGGGATGAATGCAGTATAGTCCCATTCCGTTAAGTTTTACAGTTGGCTGAAGTGACGTAATGCAGTTTAGGACTGTTAGAATTCCAATGTCCATACCGAATTTTCACCTTCAAGATGGTTTTTCTTCCATTTGGTGTTAAAAAATCGTCTATGGCCAGCGTATTTGTCATCAGTTCTTAATGCATAATGCACTAACTAATTTTTATAGTACGGATTTGTCTATTTTTTTATATAAGTGTGGTGGTTGCTGCAAATATTATGTGATTTTTGTTTTCACCATTAACATCCTATCTTAAATACAATAGAGTGTATCTGTGATATATTTATGATACATTATTTTTATTTTTTAATTTGTGAATTGACCACTTTGGATCATGCTACAATTTAATTTCTTTGTATGAAACTTCCTCTTCTTTTAGTACTCCTTCATAAGGGCACTCACTATGCTGCATTTTCCTATTATATATTTCATTTCATTTATTAGTTTTAATTTTTAATACTATATTAATTCGTTGATTTATTGCAAAAAGTCATTAAGTGACATTTCATAACTTCAAATAATAAAGAACATTGATGAATTTTTTCTTTGTTAAATCATATAATTGTGAACTTAGTGTAACTATATACCATAAATAAAATGGTTTGTTTCATTTTCATGCACTTAGTGGTTTCTTGCAATAAATAGACAATTTATTTGTTGATTTTATTATTGTGATTTAGATTAGACCATTAGAAACTTACCTTATTGATTTTTCTTTTGGATTGTGGATTCTTATTATTGATCAGATGAAGTTGATATTGTATACTATTTTATATGCTTTTAGAACGACCTTTCAATTGTGTGCCATACTTGTAAAATAATGACCTGCCGTGATTGCCAGCTTGAAATGCATAAAGATCACAAATATGATTTTATATCTGATAGTGTGACCAACACTAAAACAGAATTATTTAATATATATAAAAAAGTGGAGTAAGTAAAATCAGCCTTTGTTTAAACTTATTATTAACAAAATAATAGTAACCACAAAACTTACAGACCTGTGTTAGTGATCAAGATATTTATAATAGGCAATACTATAGTAGTGTCAGGTTGACAGGAGGGCCAAGATAACATCAGACATTACATGGAAATGCACAAATGTACATGGAATGCAGTAACTAGCTGAGTGTTTCCGAAAATCTACCAACCTTTAAATGTTTCTATTAATAACTATGAATAACAGTATGAACCAAGTTATCCCTGTTGTTTAAGTTATGCACTGAATATCGAAATAAAGACAATTGTTATGTTTCTGGCCAATGAAAATAAAGAATTGTACTTTTCCAGATTATTAAGGATAGTGATTATGAACAACAATAATTATAACCTTTACAATAATTGAGGAAAGGAACAAAAAGTTATAAATGTGAAGATATATTTAATGTAACAACGAAATGAATAATTAAAATGTGTTAAATTTCTTGATATAATTATTTACATGAAAAACAAATTTGTTAGAAACTCAGCAAGTATAGGATTTAGATTATCACAGACTGATAAGTTAATAAAAAGTAATAAATAATGAAATCACTCACAAAGATCACATTTACCTGATACTCTATTGATGCCATATTTTCTCTGAAATACTAGATAGTTAAAAGCTAAACCTTTTTATTTTTTTATCAGCTTATCATTCCTAAAGGTTAAATTACTTATTTTATTATTATTATTATTATTATAATAAGATAAACTAATTATGTACTAAATGTAAAAGTGCAATGAAGTTTCTGATTTTGTTATTTCATTTATTTATTTTTGTAACGATTACAGATTTGGTAGACATCTTGAAATATTAACTAATCTAACCTGTCTATATTGGCTAATATGCCCATGCATAAAGCCATAAAAAAAAAAAAGTCTAATAACAGATGCATTCGCCAGCTTCAGCATTCCATGTACGTTATGATTGAAGTGATCTAGGCTCACCTGTGAGCCAATCCAAATGTGACATTAATAAAATTTTACCTTATAACATTACATAAAATAGATACATACAATACATCTTATAGATTAATATGTGGTAAAAACTGATTAATCTTATTACAGAAAAGTAATTCCAGCTTTTCTTTTGCTATTTTACAGATCATTTAAACCACTGGTATCATCAATTCTACAACTAACTCTATATTTTCTCTCTCGTTTATTTATTATAAACTATTTTCTGTTGAAACTATAGTGAGTGATTTATTATTTTGGTTTCTTGCATTACATTTTATATTTTTTAGCTCAGTTAATCCATATGGAGAATCGAAAACCACTGGTTTCATTAGTCTCTAGTTCTTTTTTTATATTTATGTGTTTGTCTTCTTTATGTGAATTTCGTTCATTCATTTGAAGTCTTATATACTTATAGACTAGGAGCTACCGACCATTTCATTTAATGGAAGGACTTAAAAGCTAATAATCATTTTAAATTCTAGATAAACCTCATCTGAACACCCAACTTTGCTCAGTTGGTCGAAAGCCGTTGCTTTCTCTATGAAAATTTACATTAAAGAGGCGAAATTTGATGGTTCATTTAACGGAAGGACTGAAATTTTGATATGATGAAAATTTTACTGCCCCTTCCGCTTCATGGTGGGGAGATCACTTTTCCATATTTTCTCTTATGTCTTGAAAAAGAGGCATTGCAAACAAAACGTTGTCATATAGAAAATTAAAGCTGACAAAATTTCCTTTAAGAAAGTCATTACTTTTGTATCTTTTATAGTTTTTGAGATATTCACTAGCTTAATTTGTCTATTTTCGAAAAATTTATTTTCGTCTCATGTTTTTTATCAGATGTCTTTTTAATACCACGGCCTTTTGTTCTACAAGAAAATTGTCAGAAAGAAAGTTGTAGAATACAGCTTTTTCTTCAAATGTATATATGTCATTTATTAGTTTATCTTTTATGAGTTCAAAGTTACATCAATTTTAAATATTTTGATAAATTTTGTCAATCCATATGAGGAAATATAATTTCTTTATTTTTAAGCATGAATGTCCATCTCCATTAATGTTACACATGAAGAGTGTATAGTATACGTTAATCAAATACATAAATAATATATTATATATATATATATGTATAATTACAAGTGAAGTAACCACATGTTTGCTATAGTATTTTAGACTTTTTCGAGATGTGAAATATAAATCTGAACTATTATCTACCTCAGAATCGGAGCACAAAGATGAACTCTCGTACCAAAAGAATCTGGTTTACGAAATCTGTGTTTTAGTTCTTCTATTAGTTAATTTATTTGATGCATATAGTTTAAATAATAACTAAATTTTTTGTCTGTTGTAAAAGTGTCAGTTACATCAGAGCCCATCTGTGGGATTAACCTCAGCTGTGCCAAAAGGCATATTAAGGCAGTTGTTGGCAATCAAACTTAAGCTCTATTGGGAACAGACTAGGAAACAAACTCTCTCTAAGTTGTTCCTTGAAGGATCCTGTCACAAGAGAAGTGTATCACTTCTTCTAAAGAACAGGAGCACCATTAGGTGTGTGACAGGAATGTATACTGGTCACTGTCGACTCAATGAGCACCTCTTTAACTTGGGCCTAAGTTAGGCTCTCATATGCAGGCTGTTTGATAAAATAAAACAAAAAACTTATTTACAATTAATATGAAAAACAATAAAATAAAGTAAAAACAAATATCTGGTGTATGTGGTATGCATCACACAACTTTCACTTACTAACCTAATTAAATAACTCGTTTTTTTTTAAATAATCTTAAATAGGGCTAGTTAATATTTAATTATTGCAATCTATTATCATAGCTAAAGCTATCTAAGCTAAGTTTATTATCATTTGTTTTATCAACCCTTAAACTTTGCTTGATATATTTTGAACAGTATGTAATTCTCTCACAATGGTATGATAAAATAATTTTTAAACAATCCCAGGTTGACAGTTTGATGTTTTATAGATTTTTGGTCGGTCAAACTTTAAAATATTTGTAAATATATCCGTATAGTTTGAAATTTTATTTGGTTTCTGTTAAGTAATATTAGTTTTCCCCCACAGCTTTTAGGCTTTTTATATAATAAATAATTAAATGACACCCTATATAAGGGTGATTCTGATTTTAGGGATAAGTTTTAATCCATTGCAACTTTTACGTGATTAGTTAAGTCTAATTTGATTTTTTTTCTCAAGCTATACGGTGAAGAAGTATTTCTTCATAATGAAATACTAAAAATTAAAATATTAAAAAATAATGTGATTTTATAATTACTTGAGCTACTAAAATGCTATTACCACATAGTGTCCCACTCTCAGTTTTCTAGTAAATGTTCATTTTTTTCTTTCGAAAGCTTTGTAAAATGACATTGAAATTTATTTCCACTCCTAAAGAATAAGTAAGACATTTTGAGTTATATATTTTTTAAACTATTGTTAACAGTCAATTATGTTTATGTATTTTCAAAACATTGTCCCTTCACTTTGATGTCATTGCCAAGACAAAAACATAACATCAGATATTTAAGGGTTGAAAAGAGGGAATTGTGGGGAAATTTCTTCAGAGTGTAGTAGTAGCCATGGAGTTCAAAGGACAGCCATTATGGGATAGACCGACCAGTTGGGGAGCCTCCTTCTATGCGTTTCTTGTATGGTGAGCCACGTGCCTTTATTATCATTACCACTGCGTATATTATCTCGCTAACTTTTCAAATTATTTCATTAATTATAATTTACGTTTGACTACGGATTGTTACAACTCAGTTGGCAAAAACAAAATTGTTAATATTAGTTAAAAGGCGGTTTTGGCCGAATAAAAGATGTGAAAATGTCATTACCAAATTGAAAACTCGTATTCTCACTCCCAAATTATTAGTGCAGTAATTACATAAAATGTGCAGTAATGAAACATTTTTGAACGCCTACTTCAAACTCGTTGATTGCTCTCCTGAATAAACAACCTGGCTCGTCCCAGATAAAAATTAACTGCTGCTAAACAAAAACTCGGCCGATCGATTTAGAAGAAAATAGAGAAAAAAACGATCCTAATTTACAAGAGGATAGCAAAAAAGAAAGACTGCTGTATGGTAAGTGTAAAGAGGAAGGGAAAATGAAATTGATAAAAGATAAATCAAAGAGGGAATAACGACTCCAAAAAAAAAAAAAAAAAAAAATGGAGGGAGAACACCGCTACCTATCGTATGAAAACGATGGTTCAAGACGGATATACTCCTCCTCCAATTCCTTCATCAATTATTACTCCTGAGGTTCCAAATTTTAGTAAAAAATCAAGTGGAAGGAAGAAGATGAAAAGGACGGAGTAAAAGCATACCAAAAATTTGCAAAAGCAGAAATAGTCAAACTTAAATGTCAAAAAAAAAAACACCTTATGTAAAAAGAGACTTTTGCAATTTAAACGAAAAGTTAAAGATCGAAATAGTCGCAGATATAAAGTAAAAAAGTTGGGAGAAAAACAGAGTAAATGAGAAAGTAAAAAAAACAGCTCATTTTTGGAGAAGTGGTAAGCCGACAGCTACAACAAAGTCACAAAAACTACAAAAAAAAAATATTAAAGCTATCAATGGAGACGTAATAAGAAAATGAAGATTACTAATGGCGAGAATTTTTTCATATAAGTTGTGTAAGTCAAATAAAAAATGAAACGTACTGACTTGAAAGTATGAAAAAGCATTAGCTAAGAAATCTTTGGCAATACAAAAGAGTGTATCTATATTCCTCATGGATGAGAACAGATTCGCTGGTCTTGTGCCCAGGAAAAAATGACTATTATATCAAAATGTAAAAAGTTACAGAAATGTATGTTAAATGATACACTTACAAACTTCCACGAACAATTTCTGAATGAAAAGACATACATTGTGAGTTATGCTACATTCAGTAGATTTAGACCCCTGTAAAGTGAACCAATGTGATACTTGTATATGTTTAAAGCACAACAATTTTTAATTAATTTTACAGAAATAGTCTGTTACTACTTGGGAATTTTTTTATTTATAATTGAGACTTAATCTTTTTTTTTCTAACAAGGGCTGATGCTACTTGAGAATTTTTGCATCGTTAATTAAGACTTTTATCTTAGTAAAAAAAAATGTTTTTTTTTGTATCATTATTTTTATAATAATCTTAACTTAGAAATAAAAAAATAAGAAAGGCTGTTGCTACTTGCAATTTTTGTTTTATAAAATAGTAATGATTTATTATTTTTATCTTATTTTTCTAAAATTTATAAATAAAAACATTTTTGTTTTAATGGCTTTTTATAATTTCCTATTTGTGGAGCATTCTAATGCATAATAGATCATATTTCCTTGCCTCTAGATCATAGAAAATTATTAAATTAGCTAGCTGTCATTACCAAGCTTTAAAATTAAAATTTTAAATTTACTGAGCAAAAAACACTTCTAATCTTGGCCATTTGCTCAGATTAACAGCTCAGCAGCAATACAAAGTGTAGGTATTTAGAAATTTTATTTAAATGCCGACAAAATTATTGACCTTTTATCATGTAAATTGACCATAACCTGAGAATCACCCATAATAGGTTATACAATAATGTTTCATTCTAATAATTTCCTTTTGTCCTTAATACTTTTTAATTAATTAAAATAGTGTATATTATATGTTCTAGGTATAGTTCAGTTGTGTTGAACTCAGCTTTAACAAAAATTTCAGAAAGAGAGGAAAGTCTTGAGACAGTTAAAAAATCACTTGTCTCAGATATAAAGAAGGAATTTGATTTGTAAGATTATTATGTTATTATTAAGGCAGATTTATACATTTCACAAATTGTGGAAAATATAATTATCTAACTTGAATAACAGCGATATTATTGCTGAACCAAACTATTTATTTATTTCTCTTGATACTGACAGTTGATGAAAACTATCAAAAACAAAAATTCTAGCACAGTGAAATAATCATTTATGTATTTCTTTGTCCCATAGTTTGTGAAATGTCTAAGCACACCTTTAGATTATTATCTTTAACATTAAAACCTGTTTCTCATTTCATTTTTTACTAATGTTATCTTTTATTAATTAATAGAGAACTAATATATTCAATAATCCAGTCGAATTAGACATGTTACGTTGCAAAAGGGTGGGTAATTCTATTTTTTTTTTATATATTGTCAAAGATGTAGTGAATATTAAAAATTCACGTTTCCGCCCTCGAAATCCTTGTGGGTTCTCTGCAGCACTCCAAAAACCATTGAAATTCAGAACTTTTTTTCGTTTTATGCTAAATATCTCCTTTTTAGAGGAGCTTAAAATTATGTAACATTTTTGTACATAACGTTTTTTTTTTCTAAACCCAACAGAGCGAACTATCCAGGTTTCAAAAACTATTTTTTTTTTTACCCATTTCAGTCTCTTCACAATAGTGCTCTTTCAGTTTTGAACAGAAGAATTCTATAACTCTATTTTGAACCTCGCTCACGGAGTTTGAAGGTTTTCCTTGGACATAATGAGCCATTGACTGAAATGGTAGACGGCAGTCGGGAAGTGTTTTGAAAAGTATGTTACATGGTGGGCCAAACTCCGTACCGTGCACCCTCCGTCTCCCAATGAATTTCATACAGCTGTGTTCCTTGTAACTATTTATTTAAAAAAACAAACAAACAATGTTCCCACAAAAAAGTTGCCACACTGTCCCAAAATGGCGTCCAAACTTGGCAGATTGACATCTTTGACTTGAGTTAATCACTGAGAGTCAGCATTTGGCTTAATTTTGTCATAATTGGACTTTTATTAAATCTGTATAGTTGAAGAATAATAAACCATTAAAAAATTATTGACCTTGGCAATAAAAAGCACCAGTAAACTTAATTTTTTTAAGTTGCTCAAACTAAAATTAAAAAATCAAGCGTCATTTGTAAATAATCGGCCAACAATAACGAAAAGCATCCTGAAATAAAACATCTAGATAATGCATTTCTCTTTCTAAAACACTGATTACTTTTTAAAATATTTGAAGTGGTTACATAGAAAATAAACTTAATCAGCAGAAAAGCGGCACTGGCATAGGCGCCTCGAGTCGTCTGCCACATCATTCAGTACTCATAAATGGCATAGTTCTAGTGTTATAATAACATTTTTAGTACATTATTTTGATTGTATTTATGAACAAATATTAATACAATAATTTAATTGTCTAAAACAATTTTTTGTGAAGAAATGGAACAGTCTTGAGATGGTAACAATCCATAACAACACAAAGTTACGTAATTTGGATGATATTAATTATTAAAAAATCTGGTACGTGCAACACACAACTTTTACATACTGCTCTACTTAAATATAAATTAATTTTTGGCAATGTTGGACTGTTATAAAAATTTTAAAGTGCTTTTTTAAACAAGATAAAGCTTAAAGCTTACAGTTAACAAATCATTGATACTATTAAAATAAATAACAAAAATCCTATTTATTATATTGATGGTTGATTAAGGATTGCATGATCTATTAATTATGGATCGTACGACTACTAATTAATACACTATTTTTTTCTATTGCAAAGTTTACTGAAATGGAATTACGAGATTTTCATTGTCTACCATAGATAGGTCAAAAGTAATCATACTAATTGTAAGTGAATACTCTAGAAGTATCAAAAAGGGAAATACTCATCAAATTCTTCAGTAATTTAATTTTCTAAAAGTTTACATGATGATTTTTTGGAATAAACAGACGATAGATACGTAATTATTTAAATATAATATTTAACATTTTAAAATTAGGATTTGTCACTTCTTGAAATTTCTTTTCGTTTGATACCTTATTCATCTAAATATATTGCTCCTTTGAGCCGGAATATGGATCTATTTTACTGTATTAGATATATTTTAGAATTGCTTCACAATAAAATTGGTTATTCATCAGTAATTTTTGACTGGAGCAATATTTTCAAATGAATTGGTTATTTGTATCATTATTAAAGTCAATGCTAAGAATTAATTAATGATGGTATGCATAGTTTTTTTCTCAACTCCAATTGAACATTCCTTCAAAAATGAATACTTTTATGAAATTCAATAAAAAAGGACTCCTTTCTGCCAAATTGATTGCTGAGATGCTTTTTCTTCACTTACATATTGGCAGGAAAACATATTAAAATACCAATTGAGCATCAAGGAAGTAAACGAAGTAACGGGACTGTTTCAATTTACAATAATATTATTGTTGTATAGAAGCACCTCTGTGATCAATTTGGCTGAAAAGAGTCCTTTTTCATTGAGATCATTGAAAATCATTCCTTTTTGACAGAATGTTAAAGAGGAGTAGGAGGAATGACTATGCATACCAACCTAGATTTAAGGCATATTCATCTACTTATATTATAAATTGTGTAGTTCATTTGGTATTTATTATTCAATTAGTAACAAATGTATTTAGAATTTTTCTAGTTAATATAAAAAAAAAAAAAATAGAGATACAAACAGTTTAAATTAATCATAAAGTAGTTAATTATTGGAAATGGCTTTGCAATTTTCTTTCTTTATTTTTCAGATTACAGGAACTACTAAAAAAAAGGTGTGAAAGTCTGATGTTAGCGGCAATAGATAAAGCTAATAAAAAGCTTGAAGACTGTGAAATAAACAAAAGAGTAATTCGAAAAAACTTAAATTTACTTCAGCATTGCTTGAAATTTGTGAAATTAGTTCTTTATTCAAGTTCAGATGCTGTTTTATTTTACACAAAAGAGTAAGTGAACAATTGATGTATGATTAACTTTTATGGGGAGTGCATGCCGTGTCCGTTGCCACTTTTAATCAAACATTTTTGGATGATTCTTTTTTAAAACAAATCAGTGTTAATTATGTTTAATGAGCCTCACAAGTTAAGAAAAAAAAAAAATCTCATGTCAAATAGGGTCAATATAGAGTTTCTTCACAATTTCTATTGTTTATATAATTACCCATATTTCACAAGGTCTTTGGTATGTTGTTTGAGAATGCAATCTAGATATCTTTTTTTCCCAATTTATTTTTAAGCCAATTTTTAATTTGCTCAACTTAATGACTACAACATCTTAATTACGACGTTTCGGCTCGTCGAGCCATTTTCAAGTCCATCTTGTACCTGTCCATTTCACTTATGCGGATTACATGTGCGTCTACTCATAATAAAATGTTTCACTCTTGTCATATCCACCTTTAACTTATTATGTGTCACCCACGTGTTGTCGGTCTCATTTCTATTCAGTGAATCTAGATATCTAGGTGTCAAAACTCACAATCTCTAAAAATGTCATTCAATCGATTTAACGACAGTAAATTTTTTTTAAAATTAGATGTATTAATTTGATGCATTTAATTAAGTGTGAATAAAATATGAGGAACATTGTTGTATATATATCATTGTACTAAAAATAAACAGTAATAGAATTATATAATATGAAAATATCACAGATTTTTGATAAGTTGCAAACGAGCCAATTCGCTCTAAATGTTGTTATGAGTTATACAAATAATAAAATTATAAAGCCAATTCAATCCTTAAAGACACTGTATATAAGTACATTGAAAAACATAATGTTAAAAGCCATTAAATATTCATAAAATAAAGCTTTTTTTTTTAGCTTCTGAGGCTCATTAAAGCTACTGATTTGTTTTTAATACAGAATCATTCAAAAATGTTAGATTGAAATCAAACATCATGCCCTCTTTTTGTTAATCTGTAACTGTAACATGTACAGTGGCCAAAAAAAGTATTCGTATCCCATATGTTTTAGCCAAAAATCTTTTTATTTATGTTTTCAACATAAAGTAATTATACATAACAATTATAAACTTAATTGTGCATTAATTATATAAAAAAAATAAAATTTTATAACTCATATTACATGAAAATTATCAAAATTTTCAAATATGAAGCGCAAAATATATTCGTACATTTAACTAACCCAAAGAAAATATAGTAAATATCAATCTCAATCAATTTTAACATTTTGTAGGGTCCTCTTTTATGTTTTCACAGTATTGAGTCTCCTTAGCATCGGTTCCACAAGCCTCTTGGCTTCAAGTCCAATTTCTTCCCAAGCTTCTTCAAGATTGTTTATTAAGTCATTCCGAGATGGAAAAGAATCTTCTCAGATTTGTAATCCAGCAGTGCTCATAAATTTTCAATTGGATTAAGATTCGGCGATTGTCGGGGTGTTTTGATAATTTTTCAAACATTATACAGCAACCATTGTTTGATTTTATGGCCGTGTGCTTGCGATATTTGTCCTCCAGAAACATTTATTTATTCTCCATTCCTAACTTTTCACTCTTTTATTAAAATTGCACTGCAAGACGTCCACATATTAGTCGCCATTCATAATCCTGTCAGTAAAGGCTAGTTCACCAACTCCTTTGGCACCCTAGCAGCTCTAAACCATGACACTGTCTCTTCTGTGCTTCAGTGTGGGTTGTATATTATGTGGTTCAAATGCCTTTCCTTTTTTCCCCCAAATAAATTGTTTTCATCAGATTCTAATATATTATACTTGCTTTCATTCGAAAACAATACATTTTCCCAAAATGTATTAGATTTATTTACATTTCTCGGGCAAACTCCAATCTTTTTATTCTGTTTATTTCGTTTATACAAGGTTTATTTCCTACTGGTCTACCTCTATAACCAGCTTCATGTAGCCGATTCCTCATGATTTAGGTTATTATAGGTCGCCCATAATCTGACACGATGTGAGCCGAAACTTTGCCAAGCCAAGCACTTTCAACAAGATTTTTCTCTCTGAGTGGGATTTATTATTCACTGATCTGGATTTAAAATTTGTTATAATGTATTTCACTGTTGTATGAGGTAGTCTGAACTTATACTACAAACTTAAACCCTGCTGGAAATGTCATCTTTAAGATGATAACTAAATTCTTCAGACGTACGACCCATTGCCAAAGAAATATTTTTTAGTAATGAACTAAATAAGCAATTTCTTGTGCTGTATTATCTTTTAATCCTCTGGAGTAACGGATTATCAATAGAACATTAAAACACTCTAATACTTTTTTGTGTCCAAATGATTGAAATATTAATATTATAAAAGTTGTATCAGATCTTAAATTTTGGCATTACATAAAATTAACGTAAAGAAGTTTGTAATTGTTATCTAGTGAACCATTTTGGCCAAAAAACAGGGTGTACGAATACTTTTTTTTCCCACTGTAGTTTTAATTTACACGCATAAATTCTCATGGATATTCACATTTTTTTAAATATTTCTAATGGACTGTCTCTGTAGTCAAGTAATTGGTATCAATGGCTCTGAATGTTTCCCGGAATCTCTTAAACATTTTCAAACAAGTTGATGGCTGCACTGGTACAAAGCAAATTCTGCTTCATGAAATTATCCTAGTGGCACTAGGAACGTGAACAATTTTGACATCAGTGACAACGTTGGGTCAAACAGGGCCATCAATAATTGGCAACTGTTTAATATAAAATTGAACAAATTTAATTTGTAAATCTTAAATAAGTTTAAAATAAAATTCTTCTTATTAAATAAAACATGTAAATAATTCTTAGTTTTAATACGAATCATAAAATATTTTATTTTTAATGACTAATGAATGAAATAATGAATAACTGAATGAATGCAAATAAATATATGAGCCTTTCATTTTACAGAACGACTTACTGCAATTTCAATATGTTTTAGTATTAATTTTAGTGGTATTTATAGTGGGGATATTTATAACTTTATTCACAGTTCTATATTTCAATACTGCAATCACCTTCTCTGAAATCAACTTACTCAATTTCTGTACACATGTAAATTTTCCAAAGAAATATCACTAAAATGACTACTCAAAAATGTTGAAATTGGAGTTAGTCATTCTGGCAACTGAAAGGCTCATATATATAAATTGATAAATACCTTTGCAAGACTTACACAACATCATAAAAGTATTTATTTTAACAATGTTTTGACTTATTGTCCTTGCGGTCTACACGGCGAGTTTTTTTTTTTTTTTGTGGATACCTTGTTAATTGATTAATAATCAACTTTTAAGTCAATAACCACGTCTCCTTATTCAACCTGTTGGTTGGTGTAACAATCAAGAGTTCCTCCAACTTAAGAACCAATTTTGAAATATATGCTTATCCAGAAAAATATGTTTTCGTATCTTAAAGCGAAAGTATGGGATGGAATTTAATAAAAGTAATAATATTGATAAAAATAAATAATAAAATTGATATTGGATCATTTCTGATTTAAATCATTCTTCTTCTTATTCTTCTTTGGCACTACAACCTATGTGGGGTCAAGGCCTCCTGTAACAGCAGTCGCCAATCATTTTTATTCGAAGCAGCTGATTTCCAATCTCCTATATTAAGGATGGATCTTGCGTTAGCCGCTACATCATCACCCCAACACAATTTGGGTCTTCCAATTGGCCTTCTTCCGAATATCTGTTCAGTGAGGAGCTTCTTTGGTATTTGGCAATCAGGTATCCTTGCCACATGGTCTGCCCAGCGAAGTCAACCAATCTGCACTCCAAGATGTCCCCATTTTTATGGATAGGACAAATCATTGTTCTGCACCATTCCTTTTGCCATTTAAATAATTGGATCATTTAAAATTTCTCTACATATTGAACAGTATTTTCCTTTATTGATTATTTAACAAATCTCTTCTTAGTTTTTCATTTTAGTATTTTGCTATTGACATTTCATGTGTTTTGAAGAAATTAACTGTTTTTTAGTGTTTAATCAGAGCATTTATCTATTTTAGTTTAATTCTTAATCATCTGAAGCGTATAAGCATCACTCAGTCCATTCCAAGTTCAGCTGATGTAATACATTTGAAGTTTTCTACTGAAAATATAGATGAAGCTAAAAAAAGTAAGTATTTAACAATATAATAATTTTTCTTTTTTGCTACGTAAATGTAATTCAATTGTATATATTATTTTAAATATTTACAAGAAGAAGCTACTGCACCAACATTGTCTTAATGTAACCTTCGCAGAGACTACTAACACATCATAAAAAAAAAAAAAAATCTGCTGCGTGCAACACACAACTTTCAGTTACTGCTATACTTTGAATAGAAATTATTTTCTGGGTTATAGAATTTTTGAAGTGCATTTTAAACAGAGCTAAAGCTTAAAGCTTACAGATAACAAGTCAGGCCATTATAATTACAAAATATCTATTATATCAACGGTAGGCAATAAAAATCTAGTCACTCCATCTGCTTTTATAAACCACACAACTTTCGTTGCTTTTATAAACCGCAGAATGACTAACTCAAATTTCGACATTTTTGAGTAATGTCATTTTATTGATATTTTTAGTTGAAAAAGTTATCTATGCAGACAGTGAGTAAGTTGATTCCGGAGGAAGTGATTGCAGTGTTGAAATATAGAACTGTGATAATGAAGAATGTTAAAATTGGAGTTAGTCATTCTGTCAACTGAAAGGGTCATATATGCCTACAGACGTTTGAAAGTATATCTGAATATTTAACCGATAAATTATTATGAAGAGAAGAATAGTTGGGGTGCTCAGTCAAAAAATGAAGGCAAAAAATAAATTATAATATTTATTTTTTACATATGCTGACGTTTCGACCTGAAGTTCAGGCCTTCATCAGGGCTAAGAAAATAACCAGATAACAAGGTATGAGAAACATAAGTAATGATGGTAAAAAAGATAATAAAAAATGAGAAAGTAAAATATAAAAAAAAAATTATTATTTTCTTAGCCCTGATGAAGGCCTGAACTTCAGGTCGAAACGTCGGCATATGTAAAAAATAAATATTATAATTTATTTTTTGCCTTCCTTTTTTGACTGAGCACCCCAACTATTCTTCTCTTCATTATCCACGACAGTCAACCAATTACCAATTATGATAAATTATTATGTATTGTAGGACTATTAGTAGTGTTGCAGAAAGCGGTTGCACTTTGCAGGACCAAGACTGGTAAAAAAAATCTATTTTTTGAATCAAAAATGAGGCAAAATAGTCACTATATACTTGACAATTTTAGTTACTATATGTAAATAATTGGTGTAATCAATATATTTTTTCATTTAACTCTTCTAATTTTACATTCAGACTTAGTTAGATTTCTCATATCTAACAATTTACAGTAATATCTCTTTAGTAATAAGCTAATAGGCAACTGCAAGTTTGTTACGATAATCTTGCGCAAGACCAAGACTCGTCTCGGTCTCGCATTTGGGCAACTCTAACTATTAGTTTAAAGCTGTTATTTTCCATTGTAAAGTTTACTAAAACAAAATTACGAGATTATTTTTGCCTTGCCATGTATAGGTCAAAAGTTGTCTCACTAATTGAAAATGGATAATAATGTTGGGACTTCACAAAGGGAAAATTGATCAAATTATTCACTAATTTAATTTTGTAAAAGGTTACTTGATGATTTTTTGGAATAAACGGTTGATAGATAGCTAATTGTTTAAATATAATATCTTATCTAGAGTTAATACTCTATAGTAAATATATTTGAGGTTATAAACATATCCATGAAATATTTTTATATTTCACTTCTTCTTCCACACAAGTGCAATGAAATAGTATTTTCAACAATGGCATTGGCTTGATTCAGTGGATTTTAAATAATTTTTTTCAGTCTTAGAAAAACATTTATAAGTTTACATATAGTAAGAAAATTTCATTTAATTTCCTTGAAAACATGTGATTTATGTTAAATAATATTAGTTTAAAAAAAATATTATTTATAATTTTTTTCGCAGCTCTCCGTTGCCTTTTACAACTTTCTATATTAGATATTGTTTTTTCTAAAATTCTCCGCTTTCCAACGATGTATTATTCCTATACCTTCTGACTCTTATTTCCAGAGATTCATTTTCGACCTGGATAAGCATTTTTTTTTTTTTCTCCTTTATGCAATTATGAAATTCTTTCAAAAGTTATATTGCATCTTTTCGTAACTTTTAATAATTTGAGATGATTAATGATTTAAAATAAACCATATTAAAAGTACTTTAGAGGAAGCTGTATATGAACATTGGGCATTTAAGCCCTGTAAAGTGACATCAATGGGGATAAGACCTGATTGATATTAAAGATCACTTCATTATACAAATACACCGAGTTTATTAAAAATCGTTAGAGCCATTTTTGAGAAAATTATAAAAATGTGTTTCAGCATTGATACAAAGTGGCACTTTCGGTTAGCCGATTTTAAGGAAAAAGTTGCTGTCAAATCTAAGACATATATCTATCTTAAATATGTAATATCAGTTTTGTACTACTTTTTGTTTTTGAGCTAACATACATACAGACCATTTTTTGGGACTTGGTTATTTGGACTCAGGGTACCTCAAAACGTGTATTTCCGTTGAAAACTCAGAATCGAAAATTTTCACGATCGCAATACTTACACTTACTATATATTTTATATATACGTAAGTGAAAGTAAAAATTGATTGGCACGTGACTAACAGAGAACTCTCTGGGTGTACTAAGAAGTAACTAAGAGATTAACAGAGACTAATATAAAAAGAAAGGAACAGGCCTTTCTGTAATGTCCACTATTAAATTGTAATATGTCGATTTTGAAGTTAGTTTTAACTTCTCTAATAATATATTTTGATTATTTTTAATGAAAATGTCAGCAGCAACTTTGAAAAAAAAAGTTTATTTCTTTTCTGTTCAAGTTTACCAGAAATATCAAAATAAAGAAATAAAAAACAATACTAAATAAAAAAGTTGTGATATTTTGTAAGAACTAGATTGATAAGCCTCAATTTGGTTTTCCTTACTTTGAACTATTATATAAAAATTGATTAATCTATTGTAACTATTAATTATTATATCATTTTTATTTTTAATCTTGTATAAATAACAAATGTGGTTTATTTGTTATAATTTAAGAGGATAATTCATTTTTTAACTGCCCATAATTCATAAAATAAGTAAGTTTGTGAATTTCAGTAACCATTGTTTACTCTTGCTGTGGTCCATAAAGTGTTAATGTTAATAAGCATTAATGCATCACAAGTTGCTATTTATTTCAAAATGATAAAACAGATTCTGTGAAAAACTGCTTCAAAGAAGTCATTACAAATTTTATAGCCAAGCGTTGATGATCCTAGAGTTTTTAGCCTTTGAGTACATACAGAGAAACAAAATTTTGTACTTGTCTAGGATGAAACCTCTCTTCCTTTATTTTATGTATGTCACCTAACCTCCTTTCTTATCTCGTGTAAGCTGTGAGTTATTCCATTGTGTATTTTTGTTCCATTTGTGTATTTTTGTTCCATTTGTGTGTTTTTGTTGCAATGGATGTTATTACAATTTAACAATGATACAGTGGGGCAAAGAGAAAATGCTTTATGAATACGAACATAGGGATTATCAGTGCCTTATCAGAATTATCAGTTTTCAGGTTATAAACATTGGCAGATAGCAGTCGATTCCGACCGGATCCTAAACAAGTACCCAAAATTTATACTATGTTAAGTATGAAAGGGGAGGAGGGAAGAAATCTGGTGAAAATGTTTAAATTTATCCCAGCTTTTATTTTCAAACCGTGATATTTCTTCATCATCCACTTTGAATTGTCAACATTATTTATTCTTTTAAGCGATGAATATGATTCAGTATAATATGTAAATAATTTTAGTTGCTGTAATAATTGTTACAGAAATTGAGACTTGTGGTGCTATTCACGAAAATGAAGATTATGCCTCAGTTGATAAGAAATATTTGTTTGCGGTATATTCTACTCTTATGTCAATATACAAAGCAAAAGTTGACGGTAAGTTTCTTTTACGATTCTAATTTTAAATGTTAATGTTTAATGGCATTTACTTTACCAAATAAGTAATTTTTTTTCTTATTAATAATTAATATATTGCAATAGATTCAAAGCAAAGGAAAGATAAACATAGTTTATCTGATGTTCCTCAATCAACTTCTTTACCTACAGCTGAGAAGACCTCTTCATTTGCTTCTGTCGTTCAACAGGTTAGTATCTGATATTTATGGAGTGATAATGAGATTTAGTGTCATTCAAGTAATATATCATGTTATATATAAAAAATATAGTTATTGTGAACATAATTGTTACAACTATTAAGAGGATAGGGAGACAATGGCAACCTTAATGCAAATTTTCTTGGGCCTTAAAATTTAATTTATTTAATTTTGGTTCGTCCCCTTTTTATCAAATTATTAACATCCGCCTGAAACTCATCGTAAGCTACAAACATTTTATTTACTAAAATTTTCAGAATAGATGTATTTTCAATCTGGAGATTGAAGCTCTCTCTATTTAATTAGGTACTAAAAATTCATTAATATCCATTTGCTCTCCACTTGAATCGTAAGATAATTTTAGCACAAATTCGAGAATAAACGTGGCCTAAAAAAAATTTGGTCCGCTTGGCATGACCTCCCCAAAAAAGTTAAAATAACAAAGTTATATAGGACAAACGCCCCAATATTTTTGTAAGCCACATTTTTTTTCTCGATTTTGTGATCATTTTAAATTACAATTCAATTGTAAAGCAAATGGGTATTTACGACTGTTTAGTACCTGATTTAATAGAGAAAGTTAGCCGATCTCCAGATTGAAAAAGTCCCAATTCCGAGAAATTTCATAAATAAAATATTTGTAGGTTACGATGAGATGGAGCTAAATGCGAAGTTTCTGGCAGATGTTAATAATTTGATAAAAAGGAGTCAGTACCACGGACTATTTTCTTGTAAGTATCAGCATTTAAAATTAATACAAATAATTATTCATTATAATATTTCTAAAATATAATTTAGTTTAATTTACCCTATTTGTTTAAAATTAAATCCTTTCCAAACATTCAGCACTCTCAAAGTCATCCCGAAGATATTGCTGATTAGGCTGCAAGATGGACAATAAAACCACTGAACTGGTTTCATCAGCTTCAGACATTGAATAAGCTGATAAAAATTTGATTTTGGTCAAATAATTTATAGATCGTCATCTTTTAGGAAAAGTTCATTTTTATTATTTAAAAAATAATAATAAATTTTTTTTGAGCAATAATGAGAATGTGGATCATCAATATCAATTTTGGTTCTATATATATACATATTAGACAATTATGATACTATATAATTTTATTATATGATGTGACTAATAGTTCTTGCATTTGTAATGGTGCTGATGTGCATGGTATGAATCAACATTTATTACAATCAACAATATATCATTTTATTAAGGTTATCTTCCTCATTTGTTTAGAACTAGTGAATTTTTTATACTTTTAATAAAATTTATTAAAATGATAAGAGTAAAATTCATTAATTTAGAATTTAGTTTGTAATTATTATTGTTATTGTTTTTTATTTTAGGGCAGTCACTCGAGTGCAGCAAGAAATTCTAATTTATCAGAAGAAATATCTAGGTTAAAGAAGCCTCAAGAAATACAGCAACAGCAAATGACGCCTCAGGTAATTTGTGAATCATTTGTTCTCTCTACATAGTTCAGGTTCAGCTTAGTTTTTTTATATCATTTACTGTTCATATTGAAGTTTTTAAACATTTGTCATGTTTTTTTTTATGATCTTTTAATAAAAAAACACATTATTAATACCAAAAATCATGTATCATCATCATATTCAATTAAACATTAAAAAATGTCTTGATTTTTCTAGCTTTGGCATATTCCTGAGACAGTGTCTATTCCCACGAAAGCAGCCTTACCTTTAGACTCCTCACAAATCGGAAACAATATAAAGAGAGTTAAACTTCAACTCCATGCTGGAAACAGCACACCATCAAATCCAAAATCATCAAATAATAGTAGCCCTGTATCGTCTTGTGATGATGTCGAGGTTAGTCGGCCAGATATTTATCTATCCATCCTTGGATTTATAACTGTTCAAATTATATTGGTGCTGGTCAATTATTAGTCTTTATTTTGTGAAAATAAGTATGTTAAATTCTTATGTGCCAACTTAGTGCATGAATTCAATTGATTTTTTTTTTTATATGAGGTTTAATTAAAAATTATTCTGAAGTAAAAATGTAAATATTGTATGTTTCATTCAGAGGAATGTATAGTTTTGAAACTGTGGATAAATTAAAGTATCTTGGTACAATTTTAACCAACGTTAACAAAATGTATGAAGAAAGACCTTGCTTTTACAAGTCTTAAAGCCAAAAAATAATAAAAAAAATAAAAAAATGGTACTTAGTGCTGTAGCCATGTATGGTAGTGAGGCGTCTTCTTAACCAAGGAGCAAAATATATTGCTGAGTACATGGGAGAGAAAGATTCATGGAAGAATATGCAGTCCTACGAAAGAAGGAATTCATTGCTGCATAAAAACGATAGAGAGGCAAGCCTAGACAATGATGGACAAACTATGAAATGAAATGAAAATATTTTTTACTATCCTGGGACTGTTGTCCCTTTAGAACAAATTATAGATACAGAAAAAAATGCCTGTGTGGCCATCTCATTAAAATAAAAATATAGGGAAAAAACAAAACAAAAGATATTTATAAAATAATATAAGTAAACAAAATAATTTCTGGGGAACTGAAAAAGTTCTCTTGGGTACATTTTGTGATCAATCGGATTGGAAAAGGAGTAGGTGCTTAAAAAGGAGAGATTTGAATAAGGAAACTGATTTTGCATGTTGGATATCGCGAGGGATGGTATTCCAGAAGGAGATGGCTTGAATTATAAAGGATTTGTCAAATGCAGCAGTTCGATGAGGAAGAGGATAGAGGTCGGAAGTACGGGATTGAACAGAGTCTTTAAATTGTAGGCTGTGAAAAATATAGGAAGATTGCTGAATTATAATGGCTTGGTATAGAAAAGTAGCAAGGAAGTACGGATGGCGATTGGGTGGATAGAGCCACTTCTACTCGATGTAATACTGGGTTATATGCGTGTCTCGAGATTCTGAAAAAAAAACTTATTGAGCAATTCATTAGGTATTTAAGATTGGCTTCAAATTCTCCCAAGAGTCAGCCGTACACCAGACAGCCATAGTCAAAGTGGGGGAACACAAGAGATAAAACCAGGAGTTGACAGGATTTATATGGAAGGAGATAGCATAGACGGTTGAACTGTTTTAGGTTAGAGATATTACGACAGGAAATTTATGAGATGTGTGGTTTCCATGAGAGGGTTTGATCAAAGATAACATCAAGATTTTTTATGGAAGTATAGAATAAGATAGGCGAGTTATTCAGGATAAGGTGGGGAGTGTCGGTAACGATTTGAGGAGTGAGGGAGATCCGATCAAGATGGCTTTCGCCTTCTTGGGCCATGACGCCAAAGGAAAAAAAAAAGTCTCATTTTTGTTTTATTTTCAAATAATGGCATACAATATGCATGTTAACGAATACAATATTTGAGATTAATAAAGAGCCAACATGTCAGCTGTGACTTAGTGCACTTTACTTTATTTTACAGTTTAGTCTTTCTAAGTTGTATTTGTGTTGGAGTCATAATTTTTGAAATAATTTACACTATTCTGACTTTAACCCACACAGTTATAGATTTTAAAATGTAATAAAATTTTTAATGTATAAATCTCTATGAATTACTGAATCCAAAACCCTCATGATTTGTAGTGGTACAGGTTTTTTTTTAATGTATAAATAACATTTTAGGAGAACAAGATGTCTTCCTGTGTATATATCTTTTTATATTCTTACCAAGCAGTTTCAGTATCCAGATCTGGATCAGGCTTAGTAGTCGCTAAAACGCGTGATGGCTCTTCTTCTCTGAATCTTGAATTTAGGAATCTTGACACTCCGGGATACCAGAAAATGAGGTAGCCGATATAGCTGCTAAAGACACTGCTCATTTGAATATCCCACCTCTCCAAATATACGAGCCAATTAATATAAAAACATTGCTAAAAGACAGAGTACGGAAAAATTGGGAGTCCAGGAGGAATGAAATTCCACCGATTAATAATCTTAGAAATATTAAATAGGTACAAAATAGTGGGCAAGTGCTGGAAGAGGAAACAGAAAAGAAGTGGTAGTAACTGAAATGAGAATTGGTCATACTAACCTGACTCATGTTCATTTAATCGCAAAAGAAGCCCTACCATATTGCGATTTCTACCAGTCCCCGCAAACCATAAAGCACATAATAGAAGATTGTACATTACTGCATCAAGTCTTTGTAAAAAAACAAAATACCCGGTTGCAGAGAACTAGCATTAAAAGACTCAGGAGATTCAATAGATAACATTATAAAGCTTTTAAATGAAACACAATTGTACCATAAATATAAGAATCAATGCAATATATAAAAAGAAACAAATTACTTATAGACCGTATTACATATTTTAAGTACATATTGAATATAACTGTGTATATAAAATTGTAGCAACCTCTAAATATAATTGTGAATTTATATATTCGTGAAGATAAATTAAAAATAACACAATAGCTCAAGAGCGTAATAATCAAGTTGTTGATCGCCTAAGATAACTCGTAATCTAATCTAATCTAGAGGAAGATTAACCTATATTTTTCAACCAAAGATGTGAAACATTATCATAATTTTGAATGCATAAATAGTTATTCCAAGTATATTTTTATTTTCTTTAATTTTTTAATTTTATTTATCAGATCATTGATGAAATTATGACTGTTCTTAATGAAATGGAAAAACGAAATGGACCTTTGCCTGGATTAGGAAGACTTCCTGAACAGGTTTCACCACCAGGTAATGGTTTATGCATCATTGATTTTAGGTAATGGGTTGAGTGATTAAAAAATGACTGAGTATTGTATGTTTTTAATAATCGTGTAAAAATAAATATAAGAGAAAATATGACAGAATAAGTTATAAATAACTTATTTATTTTTAATTTTTTATATTCTCTTATTTTATGTATCCAAAGATATGAATATGAAATGATTGATATAAAGTATTGGAGAAAGAAAGGTTTTTATAATAAACAGCAGTTGGATGGTGTTTTGGGTTTCTGAAGACGACTGCTGTATTATTAATTAACTTTAAAATATCAACAAGGAAAGTTCTGATTTACAAATATTTATTAAAACAAAATTTAAATTTTTCTCTAGGTATTTGTTTTCATTGTTTTTTAAAATTTTATTTCAGATTTTCAAAATGAATCTTGGTGCTCTGTCTGTTTAAAAGGAGGCGATGTAGTTTGTTGTAATAATTGCCCTAAAGTTTTTCACGTGGGGTGCCATATTCCTCATATTAAATTGCAATTTCCTTCTAAGGATTGTATGTTCTCTCTGAAGTGAGTAGATTTTAAAGATAATATTTCATAAGATTGAACTACATTTTATTCTTTTATTTATTATTTAACTTATTTTGATTACTTAGAACCTGTTTGTATTCTTACTTTAATTATTGCTTTTTTGCTTCCTCACTACCGAAGGTAGGGAAGCATATTGTGTTCGTGCGAGAGCTTAAAAAAAAATATGTGCTTAGAATCGACAATTTCCACTCGCGTTTTACGTTTCAGACATCAAGGATCAAATTTGGTTCGGTGTCTGTCTGTCTGTAGTCAAATCGATGTGACGGGCATATCACCTAGTACTTTTCATCCGATTTTCATGAAATTTTCAGGGATTGTGCAGGTTGGTGCCTAGATGGTTCCATATCAATTTTTTTCAAATTCCATCCAGCACTTCCGCTTACACACGCGCAAACGTACTTTTGTAGATATGCCAATATTTCAGAAAGGGCTTTGGGATTTGACTCAAAGTTGGATAAAAGGTAGACAATGGTGAAAAAATAACGTAATGTCAATTTTATTGAATTCTGTCCACTAATTTCTCTTAAATATGAGCAAACGTGTTTTCCTATATTTCTAAAACTGCTTGTTCGATTTGACTCAAATTTGGAGGGAAGTTAGGGATTGGTAAACAGATAATCAAGCAGGTATGAATTTTATCAAATTCTAACCACTACTAAAAAACATACTTTTGCTTTTGGATCAGTAAATGTATTATTTGAAAATCCTATAGTTTGAAAACTACTTGTTCATTTTGACACAAACTTGAAGGAATTTTGGAGAATAGTATAGAAATTACCTAGTATGAATTTCATTTAATTCTATTTATTAATTAAAATTAATATAAATAATTATTAACAATATAATGGCAGTGAAATGTGAAAGGCACTGATCATATGGAGTGGAAGGTAGGTTAAGACAATATTTTTATGGGTTATAAAATTTTAGGTTTTATTGAAAGAGTTATTTTATACTGTATTGTTTCGTCAATTCGAAACTTTACTGGCATGATACTGCCGTTACTTAGATTTCGTGTAATTTTCAATAAATTTAAATTAATTTTTACTCGTAATTTATTTAAAAATTAAATTTTTTATTCAGACCTGCATTTAATTTAAATCTTCAGGGTATATGTTTATATGTAATTGGAACAAATATGATTTAAATGCTTAAATTTATAGAAATACTAACTGGAGGTGCCTTCTATGCCAAGATCTACAGCCACTTCAGTTAGATGGTAGTATTTCTTGTCGTGAAAAGTTACAACAAGAACTAACCATAGCCAGTAGATTGCTTCTTGAACTCTACTGTCAAGTTGAAGCCAGTAATTCTTTTAGATATCCTGTAAGTATGAAATTAATTTAAATTTGAATTAGTTGTATTTTAGTCTTGTTGTTGTTTTAGGTTTAGGGGCAAAAAACTGCTGACAGTGTATTTTAGTCTTTACAAGTATTATATTGATCAGAAATAAGTATTGTGTGGTAATAATAATAAAAGACTTAGCGAACTTGAAGGTTCAATGCCGACACCACCTATTGGTTTTTACATACCTTCCTCCACCGATCGCCATCCAAACCCAGCCCTTCCAGATCAGCCTTAACACAATCTTCTTCCCACTTTTGCTTCGATCTTCCCCTCGGACATATAACAGTTGCCACAACGAATATTAAACTTTTAGGGATTCTTCGATACTAAGTCCAACAATTTTATACGTCAATTTTATTCACCATAATGTAATCAGCTCAATTATATTAACCGGATACAGTTCACACAATGAGGCATTGTGTAACTTTCTAAATTCTCTGGTTGACTCCTTCTTTGGTCCGAATATTCTATGCAATACTTTATTTTCAAAAGCCTTAAGATGTTGCTCACCTCTTAATGTCAGCGGTCACCAACCATAAAGAACCGTATGTAGGATAATAGTTTTGTGAATTCTAATTTTTATGTTAGAATTTACAAAACTATTATCCTATCTCTGGTTCTTTATGGATGCGACACATGGCCCCTTACATTAAGGGTTGTAAATAAAATATATGAGGGATTAAATTCATATTAAAATTATATATATTTATATAATATTAAAACTATATAAATTTTAAAATTATATTTTATATTATATAGATTATATTATATTTATATAATGTAAATAATTTAGTGTACGCTATTCAAATAATATGATGCACTTCAATTCAAATCATCTAGGACTTAGTAAATATTTTCATTGATAAATTCATTTCACTAAAATAATCAATGTCATAAATGTGTGTATGTTGATATTATTTAAGAGAAGAATGGTTGGGGTGATCAGTACGAAAAAATAGTAAAAATAAATCAGTATATTAAGACTTGCGGAGACTAGGCCTTGTGGAATCCTTCATTTGACCATCCTTGATGAGGGTCTGACCTTAAGGCCGAAACATAGGCAAAAATAAAAATAAATATACTTATTTATTTTTAATATTTTTTTGACTGATCACTCCAACCATTTTTCTCTTCAATTATTCACTACAATCAACCATCAATCCACAATTGTTGATATTATTATATTATTTTCAATATATTTCTGAAATGAATGTTTTTTTTTTAATACATTGAATTTTCTCTAAATTTAATCTTATTTAAAGGATTCTGTCATTTTTACTAAGGACAGGACATCTGCCATAATTATGTATCATATTTTTATGTTTTATACCAAAGGTTCTTAAATTAATGAAGTCTATGGATTCCTTCTCGAACAGTTTTTGGTTTATTATTTTCAATAATAAACCATTGTGATCGAATGAAAAATTGAAAAACTCAACCCTCTCTCAAAATTTGAAGTTTTACGGTTCAGGATACATAGAATACGAATTCGCATTTTCTCCGAAACTACTGGACCGATTTTTTTCAAATTTGGGTTTAAAATTAGAGTTCACCCGAGAATCCACCTTTTTCTATCCACCTTTTCCTTTCAAGATGGCGACCAAAAACCTGTGTTGCTTTCGACTAGCTCCTAAATGAATCTACCAATTTCAATCAAACTTCGCTAAAGTCTTCTCGATACCTTTTAAATTTATATATATAACATACTTCAGCGAAAAGAAGCTGGAAAAAAAGTTATGAGATATGTTAAAATTAGATTCCGAATAACTCAAAAAGTATACACTTTTTTTGTCAATATTTATAATTATTTATAAATGTACAGAATTTCCTTAAAAACGAAAAAAAAGAATCGTTAAAATCGGACAATTAGGAGCAAAGATATGGTCAATCAAAGATATAGAGATATGGTCTCTAGATGTTTTCTACTGCAAAGATTATATCCTTTGTTTTGTTTTTTGAATGTGTTACTGAGTTAATGCCACTTTTTTTAGCATATTGCTAATGATTAAAAAAAAATGTTTAGTGCAATAATTGGAATCACGTTTTATTTCTTTTTCTTTGTCACTAGGAAAGTAATGTTACTTTAGATGTGTAATTGTTTGGAAATTATAAACCATTGTGAAATAATTTTGCATTTTTTTTGTGAGCTCCATTCTCCAACAATAAGCTTATTATGTTCTTATTTTAATAACTTGTTTTTATAACTACAAATACCAAAATTCTTTACATTTGGAGTATTTTCGATGAGTTATTTGAATATAAATCAAAATTTGGAGTGTGCAGAAATTTTTCGTGAATCTCTGGTAACGGTTAATCCCTGTTGTCCATGGATCATAGTTTAGAAGCCTCTGTTCTATAAAAATCTCCATTTTTAATAATAATAATATATTACTTACATATCGTATTACTTTTTTAAAAATATTTACATTTTTAATATTCTTATTACATTATTACAGAATAAGACTGGAAACCAAACTATATGCCTTGGAGACATTAAGAATAATCTGATATCTGGGAAGTATTCAGATATTATGTCATTTGTGAAAGATGTTAGATATATGTTCGCATGTTGCTTTCACTATGAACAACAGGTGAGAAACTGATGTTAACTTAAGTTTTTATTTTTTATTTTCATCTTGGCAGAGCTCCTATGGAAGCAAATGTTAAATCTCTAGATTTGTTCTTTCCCCCTCTCCTCACCCCTTTCTTCTTGTTTATTATCTTATATGTGTTTAACTATATTAATAAGTACATATGTCTTTAATATTGTATTATTTAAATGGTGGTTCACCATTACGTAACTCTCCTGTCTGAATAGCTTATGTACATTAATTTTTAATGGTTTTCCAAGTAAGTTTTTCATTTTAAGTATATTACCAATCCTGTGATAGCCTAGTCCCCTATTATAAAAAATATTTTTTATTTTCTTTCATTTCATTTATACTATAATTTAATTAAATTATTATTAATATTCTCAATTTTCTTTCAAATAAAATTATTTTATTTTCATTCTTCAAGCTTAAAATAATAAATATAATTTAAAATATTATCCACCTTAACAAAATTAGCTAATATTATTACATTAAACTTTTAGTATAATTTTGCCTTTAGAGAATATTTTGAACAATAGTTCAAACTCTGGCTTTATTATCTAGATGTAATTTTACTATTTACATAATTTGTGTTTGTATATTTTAAAAATTATTTATTTTTTAGGATTATATGAAGATAGCTCACTCCCGTTCCTTGGAAGAAATGTTTAATAGGCTCCTTTCACAGTTTGTCCCTTGTAATAAATGAATGTTCCTATAATTAATAAGTACAAAATGTAAATATATTGTTTCATAAATAATTGCTGTTAAATGCACAAAATTATTTTTATTCTAGTGAATTTTTTAATTAAGAGATAGCATTACTTTTTCAATAAAAACTTTTATAGTTTGTTAAATAGTTTAAAGTATCGATGGTGTCATATTTTTTAGTGAATTTGTTATTTTTGTTAGATATTATGCAGTCAATTTTTGCATGTTTGTTTTTTATGCACGGTACCAATTAAAACTTAGACGTTTCTATATGTATATTTATGATTTAAGAGAATAATTTATTTTAGCAAATGATTAATTTTGTTTGAAATAAAATTTAAATATATTTTAAAGCGTATAGTCATGAAACCATTTAAACAAAACATAAATTGGAGGTTAATACTATTTTACATTATTTTTCTGCTTTAAATAAAAAATGATCTTTAAATAGACAAAGAGAGTGGAGTTCTTTAAATGTCACAATATTAATTTTTTAAACTATTATTTTTATTTTTATATTTTCTATATGTATATGTAATAATTGATATCAGTTTCTGTAAACAAATAAAAGCTCATTTATTAATGTTTATTTTTAATTTGTTGGAATCTTATATCATGTCTTCTTAATCATCCAATATCTTTCTTCTTTTCTTGAGCTTTTTTACGCTCTAATTAATTCTACTCTTTATATTTACTATTAATAAACTTATATATTTTTATCTATAATTATTCCTTTTATAATGTTATTTACAGGATCATTTATTCCGTTCAGTGTTTCTTTGTTCTTAAACTAATAATATATGAGAAGATAACATCCTGTGAATAAGGAAACAGTATAAATAACTATTCAATAATATCATAAAGGAATAATAACCAATAAACTTGTATGTTTAATAAATATGAAGCATAGAAGAATGATATTGGATAATTAAGAAGGTATTAGGACAAAAAAAATCCAAGCAATAAGAGATCTTTTTAATGGTAGATAAGAGTTGACAATAAGGAAACATGCGGTAAGATGGGTTTTTATTAATTTCCAGAAATTAATATCCATTAAAAAAATTTATTTTCATGGCTATATTTAGGAATATTCTAAGCATCAAAATTCCTCATTGGAAGTTATCGAATAATACTTGTCAATTTTATTTTATCTAATACCATAAAATTATTTGTGTGAATTACTTTAAGCTGATGTATTGTATCTAATGCCAAGACACAAACATTTATGTATTTATAATTAATTAATCCTTTTTAGATCTTTATGTATTGAATAGTTGTATTTTATTTTCCAGTTAAAGATTTGTATTTAATTAGACTGAGTGATTGTACCACTACGAATTATATCTATTTGATACAATTTTTTCCACTTATATGTGAAATGGCTGTTAATTGAATCTTTAAGGTTATGTTTTAATTTGTTTGCCATAAGAAAGTTGAGAAAATAATTAATTATATTTTTTTATTGTGTATTCTTACCAATGATAGATTTGTTTATTTGATTAAAATTTTATCATTTTTGTTATGTAGGTGTGTTGTTTTGAAACATTTAGTTATTTTTGTATTGTTTTAAATATTCTCAACTACCTGTTTTTTTATATTAATGCTCTAGACATATTTTTTTTTTCTTAAACCAATTCTGTTTCATTATTTTTGCAAATATAATTTTTTAAAGCCAAAAGTAAGACCTTTTTTTACGCTCATATTGTATGATGAGAATGAATACAAAGGATGCATCATCTCATATTTTAACAAATTTGACACCAGCTATCTCAAAGAGCAACCAGTCGCCCAATGTCAGACCAAACCATTAGACATTGATCAACCAGTAACATGTGGTAGAAACACCCATAGAATTTCTATGTAGAACTTATCTTTACATTCTTTCTATGTAGTTCTTATCTTCAACTTTCTTTTATTTTTAACTTTCTAAAACAAGCTAATTGTATATATTTTTTCTAGTTATTTAAATAATATATTATTGAAGGAAGTTATTCGACTGTTCTACATATCATGGGTGATAAATATTCAGGATGCAGTCATTATAAGGTTTTTATTAGTGCCGACGTTTCAACCCAAACATGTGGATCCACATCAGGGCATGGTTCGAGCACTGAAGATGTTCAAGTACTCATGATTCAAGAGTACTATGGATGGGATATAGATGGGATCAACAAAGTAACGATAAAAAAATGTTGCGCGCATCATACAACTTTCATTTACTACTATACTTTGAATAGAAATTATTTTCTGGTAATGTTGAGCTATTATACAATTTTTGAAGTGCATTTTAACCGAGCTAAAGTTTAAAGCTTACAGCTAATAAATCATTAATACTATTGAAATAACAAAAATCCTATCTATTATATCAATGGTTGATGATGGATTTTACAACTATTAGTAATTAAGCTATTTTTTTCCATTGCAAAGTTTACTAAAATGGAATTACGATGATTGTATTGCCTGGCATAGATAGGTCAAAAGTTGTCACACTAATTGTAAGTGAATACTGTTGGGGTATTGCAAAGAGAAAATTAATCAAATTATTCACTAATTTAATTTTCTAAAAGGTTACATGATGATTTTTTGGAATAACCAGATGATAGATACTTAATTATAATAGATCTAGAGTTATTAAACTACAGTAAATATATTTAAGGTTATAAACATATCCATGAAATATTTTTATATTTCACTTTTTCTTTCACACAAGTACAATGAAATAGTATCTTAAACAATGTCATTGCCTTGATTCTAGGGATTTTAAATACTTTTTGTCAAACTTAAAACAATTTTAGAAGTTTATATTCGGTAAGAAAATTTCATTTAATTTCCTTGTTAACATGCGATTTACGTTAAATAATGTTACCATTACCATTACCTTCTACAACTTTATTTATTAGATATTATTTTTTCTATAATTCTCTTCTTTCCAATGATTTATTATATCGACGATTCATTTTCGAACTGGATAAGCATTTTTCTTTTTTTTTAAGGAATAACTCCATTTTTGAAAAGCTCATTACATGGCTAAAGAAAATGTTCACTTAAAAGTTTATTTGCACTGTAAAATTCAATGAAGGCAGATAGATTTATCAGGAATTGATTCTTTTTTTTTTTTGCTAAATTTTGGGACAAAAGTTAAGATTTTTGTCTGTAGATTTCTCAATAAGGAAACAATAAAATTACCAAATTGAAACTAGAAATGTTTTAATGTCTAGAAACAAACTTTTCAGACCATGAAAATTAAAATTAAATAAAGTATGTTTGCCAAAAGTAAAATCGTAACTGAGATTGAGACTTCTGAGGAACCCCTTGGATATATTGTCTTTGATGATATTGTTTTAATATTATTGTTAATGTAGGAGCAATTTACAGGATTGCACTCAATTCATGTTTAGATTAATTTAATTTAAAATAAAACACCACAAGGTTTGAGTAAAAATTTCTATTTTTTTATACTAGGTTAAATTGAGAAGAAAACTAACCTAAAATTGTAGTTATAAACATAAATAAGGAGGAAAAATGAGGGATTATTAATTTTCCTCTTGAACTATACGTACGCTACTTAAAAATAAATAAATAAAACTACCAGTATTTATAGAATAATAAAACAAATATGGATTAGGAATTGAAAAAACAGTTTATAATTAATATATTATTCCATATAGTATTTCAAAAACAATTTCATATTCAATTAAACTTTTAAGGCAACTAGCTTATTTTAATCATCAGTCAAATATGCAAAATTGATGCTTATTCATATTAGGCCTAATATTAACATACGGATATCATAATGGATAGTATAGTAATTTAACGGATAACATTTTATTCCTCTAAACAATTTACAACCATCTTATTCCAAAAAGTGTTTCAGATAATTTCATATGTAACTCATTATAAGTACTTTATATTTTATAAAATGATTTCATAATTTTTTTCTAGAAGTTTTCCAATAAGCCTCAATTACTGAATGCCAAGTAGCCTACATAATCCATTGTTAATAAAATGCTTCATACAGATTAAATACTTTGGCACCCAAGTATCTGCTCTAAATTGAGACAACAAAACTATTTTAAATTATCCAAGATATAATTAGGTATTTCACTAAGGCATGCCTGAAATTAAAAAATAGGTAAATAGAAAAATATTGTTTTCTAAGCTAACACACAGATTTGATGTTATATGAAATATACTTAACGTTAAGCACATAAAATTTCATATTATTATTATGATAGTACACAAACTTTAGCTAATAACTAGAACTTGGATTTGAATTTTTTTTTTTTTTTCATGTTTAAGGAAAAACGGAGTTTTAAACAGATCTTTGCCAATCTTGGGCAAAGCATTGTAATTATTATTTTAAAATATAGAATTTAAAATTGGTTATAGAAAAAATATTTTAAATATAATGCGGATATGTTTTTAATATATTTATTTCAAAAAATATTTTATTCAATTAGCTATTAACTAGAGATACAACCTAAACCTATTTTAATTAGAATGGGAGGTCAATTCCATGGACCACAAAATAAATTTTAAACCATTTAGCTCAGATTCAAACAGGCAATGCTTCAACATTATTAAACCTTGGGCAATCATCGCTAATCCTAAAAGATTAGACCTCCATCTAGGATCACTTATGAAAAACTTAACTAACCATTATGTAACTATGACAAAACAATACGCCCAAAACAAATTTTAAATATGTATTGGGTAAAAATTAAAGGGTGCGAGTCTATTTTGCCTGTCCTTCCTGATGTGATGACAAGACTCTGGAATTCAGCAATATATTTTGCTACAAATACAAACGTACATATTTCATTTCTTAAAATGTAAAATATGAAAAAAATATTTTATTGTATACTTTTGAGATGTTACCCAGCTCTGTCGGATAAGCAGGTTATAAATACAGAAACATAACAATCTCTTTGGTAATTTCGCATTAAAATAGATCTATTTTGGGATTTTCAGACAGAATATGGTTCAAGTGATTAAATTCCTTTTTATCCTAAATTAAATAAACTTATACTCAAAAGTGGGTAAAACCGACTTATATCCAGAGAATTGGCTAGGAAAAAAAAAGGATAGGTCTAGAACCCATGAAGGGTCTTGGGTTCAGTATTTTGTAAAGAAGTACTGTTTCTTGGTTAATGGTTGTGCAAGGAGGTGATTTGACAGAGATCACGTTCAACAGCCAGGTTTTCTCCCTTAATTGATTATTTAATTAAGGGTATCCACTTTATTGAGGTTGCGAGCACCACAGGAGGATCTCTCGACCGCAGGGTCAATCCACGGCTGACAAACCAGAATAAATAATTTATCTGCCATCAGCCGGACTTGAACCTGAGACTTTGAGCATTGGAATTCAGTGCCCTACCACTGAGCTACCTCACTCTCTGATTTGGCAAGAAAACATTACTAAAATCCAATAACACAAAATACCCAAGTTTTTAGTGAGACTTAGACAATTACTTTGATTTATAGAAAGAGATCCAGCAATGGAACCTTAATTCCACTACGATCCCTAAAACTCTGTATTTTCTCCCTCAGTCAGTCATTTTTTGTCTTTTGTGTAAAGGGTGATTAATATTTTTGTACTGAGCAGTGCTAGTAGCCAATCCTAAGCATGAAAAACAAAAACAATGCAATCAGTTCCATGTGAAAATTTTTATCCTTAAAGAAGAGGATTGTTGAATAAGAGAGTTTTTCAATACATTCAGGCAAGAATATTCATTATTGCAAAATTTAATTTTAGATTATTCTCTATTCTTAAAAACCTCCAAATTTAAATAAGTAAAAGCACCTTAATACCTTTTAACATATCTCGGTGTGGTTTGTACAGTTAATATTACATCATGTATATTTCTGTTCCACAATCTGTTTTACATGGTTATTCATGAATATTGGTTGAATTAAAAATTTGGCAAAAGGAGTTGTATCACAGTTTTACCAAATGTAATTATTTACACCCAACAAGAATAAATAAGGTGAACAATTTTCTATGTTTTTAATACTTGATTTCTGACAGCTCAGTATGGGCTTTTTTATATTCATTTTTAAGAAAAAATAAATTATTAATTATCAATTATATTGAAATTATAACAAATAAGCTTGTTAAATTTTCCTTTTTTTTTTAAAAGAGAAATTAATGATGTTGATTTTATAAATCATTAGGATTAGATTGACTTTGGCTGAGCTCTAAGATAAAGTGTTCAAGAAATCTAGCAAATCTTATTCACCATAAACATATAAATATTCTAGTAATTTTAATTTTCAAAATACTAATGTTAGTAAACATAATATTTTCATGTTCCTATTCAATTTTAAGGTGTTTATTTATGTTTTTGTGTTTAAAAATATTTGTACTTTTTCAATTACTTTATTTTTCCCAATTTTTAATAAATGGTTCAAGATCTTTTTTAAAAATTAATTTTAATGACCTATTCCTTAGAAAATAAAAAAAACTTCAGGTACGGGCCTGGAATAACAAAAATTAAATAAAATAATAATTGGAAAAGTGACAAAGAAGAGGGAGGCTTGGATTTTTGAGCTGCTCCTCTTCGGCACTAAAGTCTAGAAAGATATAAACTTTAATTTAAATGCATTGAAATTTAATGGAGTTGATGACAAATTATTATTAAATATGAAACAATATTGACAAATTAAATTAATTATTATTTTTGTGCATTATGAGGAACATCCGTCTTCCAGACAGACATATTGCTTTTTAATATACTATCATACCAGTCTTTGGTATACATATTGTCATCTTAATCTTTGCCATATTTCCAAAACAATAGAAATTTACCACATAAATGGTGATTTATAAAACTTTTAAAAAAATTATTTATAAAAATATAAAATGTTTTACTCTTCACACTGAACTTAAAAAAAGATAAAGGACTAATATAAGAATAAAAAATATACAATTACATGATATCAACATAAAATATTTTAAAAATATAAACCATAATTGAAAATGCCTGGTCTGTTCACTCATATTACTAGCCTTACTGATTTGAGTGAAAATTGCAATACAAAAATTGTTTGCTGTAGCTTTCATAATATCGGTGTGATCCACAAAACATACATGAATATAAACAATTAGTATATGCTAGGCGCAAACTATATCCATCTGAGGACGGATGTTTCATTCACACTCCATAGCAATTTACTGGTCTACTTAAATAAAAATATGTATCTCTTATTTATTCAATTTTTAATAAAATAAACCATTTTTAATTGCTTACTTCCTTTTCCAGATAAAAATAGTTTAGAAACCATAATAAATATTATTCATTCTACTTTTACATAGAATTTTAAGTTATTCTATACAAATTCAATGTGATTTCCTTAATTGTGATAAAGGATAAAATTAAATGTTAACAGTACTATGCACCAACCATAATAAATATTGAATACTATAAAAATATTGTTATAAATTAATAACAAAATAACCAAGAGAAAGAACATAAATATTAGGTTATTATTGAAAAAATTACAAACCACACAGCTTTAAGCCTCCAAAATGCAGGTAAAGAAAACCCTGTCAACATTTCGCCAATTCAGGACAGAAAAGAACAGCTAATCGAACATCACCCAATGAAATCCAATCACATACTCATTTTATGTTAATTAAATTAATTATGTCTTTAAGAAGTCTGTTCATAACTATAACGCTTAGAGCAACAGATAAAACTCCTCTTATGGCAAATCAGCAAGTTGTTGGTAAAATATATTATTCCATTTAAAAAAGCCATTTTCGCAGATCAATTTTAAGCCTTCAATAAAAGTTTCTTTATTTTTAATGCATGTATATGGTACAATTTGTTCCCATTCATCAGAAATAATTTCAAACATAAGTGACAGTGGTATAAAAGTAAACAAGGAAACCATATCAAAACTGATTAATCTTTCATTATCACAAATGATTTTTAATTTTACAATATTACCTTTGGCCAACCCCCATAAGACTGAAACGACTATAAACCGCCCCATGTTTTCGACTACTGCAGCACTTACTAGACGTTCCAAACTTCCAACTATTTACAAAAGACTCATTTATATTACTATAATAAGTCCTATTTGGACTTACGGGATCGAGCTTTGGGGCTCTACTAAACCATCAAATTCCTTTCGTATCCAATCCCTACAATCCAAAATCCTTCATAAAATCCTCAATGCTCCCTACTTTGTCACAAATGAAATCATCCATAACGACCTTAATGTACCATATGTGTCCGATTTAGCTCAATGCAGATACCTGTCCTTTCATAATAAACTTCTGAACCCTCTTGCTCTTGTTTCCAACCTTGCTTCCTCTTCTATTCCTAATAACCCTCCGAAGCATCTGAAAAGAAGATGGCCTCAGGACCTTCTAATATAGAAATATAATTGGAATGCTACCAATGGGTAGTTTCTCTTCATGTTGTACATGTCATGTTACTTATTTCATATTTACTCTTTTTATTTATCATTTAATACAGTTGTGAATTTCAATAAGAGTTTTATATATCATATGGGTTGTTAGTACTGAGATTTTGATTTTGAGAGAGTTTGAAAAACTTTTCTAGCTTGTATGAAGAATCTTTGATATTATTTACTATGGTTATAAGTGGTTTATAATTTTTATGCAACTTGATCAATCCATATATTCTGGAGTGCTGTGGTGTATTCGTGGTTAATTTGGTCTTAGTAGCTTTATCAATAAAGTTTTCACAATTAAATTTATGTACATACTTGTCAATTTCGTCAATGGTTTTTGTAAGCGGATATTTCTCTATCGATTTATAAGTAACAGGATTATTTATGAGCTGGAGCATTTTATCATCGTACATTTCTTTAGTAATGATAACGACTTGACTTTTTTAGATTTATCAGATTTTAAAATACAAATATCTGGATTGTTACTACAGAATTTCAAAACCTCATCTAAATCTTGCTTATTAGAGAATGCGATTGGATTTCGATGGAGTGACGTTCGATTAGCTGTTCTTTTCTGTTCTGATGATGCCTAAATTGGCGAAACATTGACGGATTTTTTATTTGCCTGCATTTTGGAGAGAAAAGGCTGCGTGGTTTGGAATTTTTCCAATAATAAACTAACTTATAAAAATAATAAATACTTTTTTCACATTACCACATACAATGATTTTATCATCTTAATTAAACCACACTCTGCATATTAGTTGCTTCAAATTTAATAATAAAATATTTAAGACCAGTCCACATGTTCCAGCAAATCATCAAACTAAATTGTGTATGCAAACTGTTGAGGCTTCCTTTGAGACCAAAGCCAAAATTCTTGGTTCAATTTTTTCCCGGTGTTTTTTTTTTCTTTGTGTATTATTACTACTTCATGTTTTTGATACATCAAAATTTACCAAGGAAAATTGATTACTACCGTGTATATATATCACACTATGCTGTGATGAGAAAAAAAGAAATAACTATTTACACCTTGAGTGATGGCGTCTTAAATGCTTCAAAACTTTCCCTGAGGCTAATGCCAAAGGATCTTCAGCATGCTGTCTGGGTATTTAGATTGAGAGTAGAAAATTTCAACTAGTACTATAGTTCAATAGTACTATTAAAAATTTTTAGCAGTGGGAAAAAGTAATGGCTTTCTGTGCCACAGTCAATGTGAGAAGGAATCGATCTTGTTTGGTAGAATTAGATTTAAAACGAAAATCAATAATCTAACTTTAGTATGAAATCTTTGGAGCATATCTAATTGTAGTCAAAATTAATGAGTACATTCTAAATACTCAACAAAATTAGAATAGTAACAACAAATCTAATTATTTTGAAGAACAGAAAAATTAGCATTTATAAAGTATAATAACTATATACGAGGGTGCTCTTTTTTTTTTTTTAGTGTCCTCCCCTTCCTTGCCGTTAAGGTTATATGGGGTTTTCCCGGGCCAGGGGGTGTGAGTGGGAATTTAAAAGACTCCTCCGGCACCGGGAACCGAACTCATGATATTTTCATATCATTGAGTCATATATCAGGTTGCCGGGCAACGGCGGTGCAGTGCACACACATTAGCCCATTCGGCCACCCCGCCCACCAATACGAGGGTGGTCTGTAAAGTTTCCGACCGCAACGTGAAGATGGCAGCACTCGTAAATAAAAGCAAGTGAATTTCGTTGTTATCTGTTGACAGTTACCCACCAAAGTTTCAGCCATTTCGGACACTGTTGTTATGTAAGAGTCGTTTAAGTGAGCGTTTTTGTGAAAATGGACAAAATTGAGTACCAAGCTATCATTAAATATTTGTTTTTGAAAGGCAAAACGCATATGCAAATCTAAGATGAGTAGGATTCTGTGTGTGGGGACTCTGTACCATCATTTACCATAGTGAAATTTTGGGCAGCTGAATTTAAATGTAGCCATAGGAGCTTGGGAGACGATGGAAGTTCAGGACTTCCAAAAACTGCCGACGAAAACACCGCCAAAGTTCACCAAATGGTGCTAGACGATCACCAAATTAAATTGAGAGAGATAGCAGAGGTTATGAACATGTCAAAAGAACGTGTTTATTACATATTAAATCAAAATTTAGATATGAGAAAGCTGTACGCACGTTGGGTGCCACGTTTGCTCACATTAGACCAAAAACATGTTTGTACGAACATTTCCAACGCTCTGTTAACACAGTTTAGGCGCAATAAATCCGAGTTTTGGCACCGATTAATTACTGCAAATGAAACTTGGATAGATACACCATTATATGTCTGAAACAGAAATACAGTCCATACAGTGGACTGCAAAGGGAGAACCGGCTACAAACAAAAACTCTTTTTTTCGGCTGGGAAAGTGATGGCGACTGTTTTTTGGGATAGTTATGGAGTTATTTTAATCGACTATCTTCAAACAGGAAAAACCAGTACAAGAGCATACTACTCATCATTACTTGACAACTTGAAGGCAGAACTTACGGAAAAACGGCCATATTTGCAGAAAAAGAAAATCCTGTTTCACCAAGACAACGCACAGTCACACCTCAGCGGTTGCCATGGAGAAAATCCACGAATTACAGTTTGAACTGCTTGACAATCCGTCTTAATCACCAGATCTAGCACCAAGCAACTTCTTTTTGTTCCCTCATCTAAAAATTGTGCTTAGAGGACAGAGATTTTTGTCAAATGAAGAAGCAATAAACTTCGTGAACAATTATTTTGCAGAGAAAAACACCGAGTACTTTTTGGATGGGTAACAAAGATGGGAGCATCGCTGGGAGAAATGAGTAGAGTTACAAGGAGACTATGTTGAAAACTTTCCAGATCACCCTCGTATAAGTTTCTGTTTTGCTGGTGGGAAGAAAAAAAAAAAAAACAGCTCACTTATAGAATTCTCTAAATAGTGCTTTGTTCTAATTCAGTTTTAAAATTTACCCAATTTTCCAATTCAGGTCTTATATCTGATCTAATTCACAACAATATCTTCTACTGCTAACTCATCGCATGTGGACCAGTCTTTACAACTATATCATTTAAAATTAATTACATAATTTCTGTCTTAGATTTTAACCTGTATCATTAAATTATGCTAATGTTGCCTTCTAATTATATTTTAAATGAGATTTCTCTTATCAGCTATTGACATTGGATATTCTATAACATTTATTGTCAAGGTTAGCTTATGTAACAGCATCCCTTGACATTTGATCACTTTTTAAGATCTATAAATACTTCTAAAATTCCTTGCTCATAGTTTCATCCCCAGCCTCCTCCTGGCTTTCAATCGGAGCCTTCAATACAGTGACCTGGTCTCCAAATTTTACTTCAACAACACATGGAGATTGCATCCAAGGTTCCCCATCCATCTGCATAGGTTCCCTTGCTTTCAGAACGATCTACAGATAACAAAAAGATATTACCTCTTTGTGGTTGTATATTAAATTATTATAATTATGATATAAATATATACTTTCTAATATTTTCAAGAATAAGAAGGTATTGAGAATAAATTACTTGCCTTAACATTGGATGCTTGGCCTATCCTATATGGGCTTGAAAGACCGACTTGCATTTGGGCCATGTGGAATGAAGAATATATCCCAACAACCTCTAATTTACCATCAGACATTGAGTGTTCACTAATCTGTTCATCAGGTTCTATAAATTATTTAAGACAAAAGAAAAATGTAAAAGTACATATTTGTAAGCAATAAGGATTTAAATTTCTTATCATTACTGTATACTGTTGAGTTAATATAACAAAAACAATTAATGAAAACCATTCAGCCTAGTAAATTCATTTTCTTACTTCAATATAACACAGTGATCACACCTTATGTCATGAGCATTCCTTCAATAAAGGTACTTTAGGGAAAAAATTTTTGAAAATCAGGCATTTAAATCTTATTAGAGAACATTGATGAGAATGAGACCTACATTATATAACTTTACACTAATATAATGAATTTAATCAAAATCGTTGCAGCTGCTTTTGAGAAAAATGTGTAAAATTTATGAGATAAAGTGGCACTTCCAGTTAGCCGAGTTTGAGGAAAAAGTTGCTGTAATGACTCAGTCATATGAAAACCTTGAATATGAAATTTCAGTTCTATACCACTTTTCATTAGTGAGCTAGACTGTTTACACACACACACACATACAGACCATTTTGCAGGACTTGGTTATTTGGACTACGGGGACCTCAACAGGTATTTCTGTTGAAAACTCAGATTTGAAAATTTTCATAATTGCAATACTTTCCCTAACAATATATTACCTATATAGGTAAGTGAAAGTAAAAATATATTATTTAAGTCCTACTTATTAAAATTTTATTTTTCATTTTTCATCCAGAAATACATTTTCAAAAAATACTCTAACTATTTCCTGACTTTTAAGGATTTTTCCTGGCTATAGACATCCTGTTTATTATATCCAAATAACTTCTCTCCATTCCCAAACCAAAATATTTCTTAATAATAATTAAAAATGCACCTTTTAAATCCCAAATATGGCAGCCTGCCCCCCAAGATGCTATATTTAGAATAACTACTCCTTCTAATTCAGGTAATTGAATTTTAAGACCATCCAGTTCAACTTCTATCTTCTTTTCCAAACCAATACATTCTCTATCAACCACTTGCTGAGTACCTAAAATAAATAAAACATTCTTCAAGCATTTCTTGGTATTGCAATGAGACGACAGTGTATGGTTCATATTTATTAAAGACAAGAATATTATATTTTATTCATGTTTGATATATTATTAGTAGTATTTTATTAAAATTAATTTAATGATTTCGTTGAATATTTTTTGTTATACAACTCAAAAAGTCTGGTTAGTAAAATCGAAGAAAGACTAAAGGCTGAATCAGAATAACTGTTTTTGAATAAATGACAATAAAAAAAAATTTACAATCAATTTTTGTTATTTATTTGACAAGACGGTTTTGACTACTATTCTAAAATGTCTAATTAATTTATATGTTGGGAGTCATTGTTATGTTTTTTCCTAGGTAATATAAAATAGAAGCAAATAACAAAATTAATAAAATATTACAAAAACATAATCATTAAGAATATTTATATTTCAGATCAATATTGAATTTATATAAAGAAATGGAGTTTAATGTAATTAATAAAATGTTTATTAATTTTTATTAAGTAAAGTGATAGAAGAGACTTTAGATGTTGCATCAAAATTTTATTGAATTGCTTCTATACCCACCACAGTTGGTTGGCTTATCTTTTAAAATGGAAAACACAAATTGGAACAATATGAGAAATAACTAGGTCATTCATTTAAGAAAATGTATAAAATAACATCGGGATCATATTTACCAAAAGCAAGGTATAAAGCTTTGTTGATGAGACGACCTCCAAGATATAACGATGAATTCCTTGCATTATGAAAATCCAAAGTAACCCTAGCATCAACACCTACAGAAATGTAATTATACATAAATTTTACCTGTGGAGGGCGAGAAATTCCCAGACGACGACTTTGAACTATATTGACCTCCCACCTGGAAAGTTAAGAAAATTCATGAAGTTTATCAAGCTTCAGAAAGAAAGTTAACAAAATTATTTAATCGTTAGTGATGGGGTGGAGCTGTGATTCTGTCAGAGTAATTGGAAGCTGGTGCTGACTATGACAGGCACTACGCAATCAGTGCTCCATATTTTTGGCTAAGAACATAAGACTGTGACAAAATCACAGCTCCAAGAAAAGCGCTCCATCACTACTCCAACTTTTAGAACTCACATCCCTCCAGCAATCTCGGAATTGAAGATGGCATCTATTTATTTACTGAATGAATTAAGAGAATAATTGATGAAATAATTATTTCCAAACAATAGTTATTTCTTAAATTTAAATAAAATTAAAAAAAAAATATAAAGTAATCTCAAACAAATAAATATATATTCATTTCTTGATCTTTGGAAGATGGAAACATTCATTGAAATAATGATATACAGTGGCTCACAGTGAAATTGATACATCCAGTAGAAAAATAGAAAAAATACATCAATGGTTACAGTAAATAAATAAAATCAGAAACTCTTCAACAGATTAATTTATAATAATATTTTTAAAAATGTACAAAGTCAATAAAATAAAAATATTCAACTGTGATTAATTAAAAGAATAAATAAAAAAAAAAAATGGATAATTTTACCTCACAGTCAAAATGATACACCTCACTTCTTATTAACTTTTAAATACTATTAATTTAGTTTAACACCTTGTAGACAAGCCATTATTTTCTACCACTTCTTTCAGTCTGTAATGGAGTCAATCAATTTTTTGGTGATTCTGCCTGTTCCATTCTTCGAGGAGATATATTTTAAAGTTTTCTTTGCTAGAAATTTCATGCTTTCTAATTTCTACCTCCAATTTTACCCACAGGTGCTCAATTACATTCAGATCTGGTGACTGTGGTGATGTCTTTATAACTTTCGGACAGTTATAAAGTAGTCATTCCTTATCTAACATGGCAGTGTTTAGAGTCATTATCCTGATAAAAACAAAATTTGTTTTTAACCCAAATTTTCCACAATTTTAAAGATTTAATAAAGAACATAAACATAATATAAAGACAAAAAAAAAAAAACATAAGAAAATAACACTTTACTAGAATGTTTATTGATTACAATAAATTATTTCTTTTAATGTAACATCAATTGAACTATTTATTTATTCAATAGTTTCTATCAATATCCAGGTGTATCATTTTGATTGTGAGCCACTATATACTTCTGAAATAATTATTCGAAAGTTTTTCTTTCACTATTCTGTTATTTTCGAAAACGTAAAATGATTATTCTGTTCATTATACCTATAGCCCTGGAGCCAGGACCCAAAAATCGACTTGATTGCAGGCGAAGGTTTGATTGTAAATTACGAAAGTTTGTCTTATTCTGAGTACAAAGAACCTTGTCTGCCGTTCCAGAGCTACTGCTTTAAAAATGGTGGCTGATTTGAAGAATATTATTCCAGTAATTTGAGGATCTAAATGGGAAATCCATTGCTAACCATTTCTAACTATCAGGAGATTACTGATTTTGTTCGCAGTAAGAGACCTACATTAAATTAGTTGGTACTCCGTTTATGCAAAATTTCATGCTCTACAACTTTGATTCTGTGGATTTTTCCTCTAAGAGAACTCATTACCAAGTTACAGGACCATTTATAGTAATTTGTCTCAGTTTTTCACAAATTTGGTAAAAATCAGCGTTGGTGACCATGGTATTATACCTTACCACGTAACCAAATTATAAAGTTTATGTAATTATTTGAAGCAAAATTTAACATTCTTTAATTTATTAAACAATACATTTTTCGCATTGATGCATCGTTTAGGAGTTATAGGTGAAAAAACAAAAACATATAGAAAAAATCTGACTTTTTTGGCTATAAAAGGTTTTACCTTGGTGGCCCAAGTTAGCAATTTTTTTTTTACATGTCTAAACCCATATATACAGGTTAAAAAAATAAAAACTTTTCTCACATTTTTCGCAATGGATTTTCCGTTTAGATCCTCAAATTACTGGAATAATATTCTTCAAATTAGCCACCATATTTTAAAGCAGTGGCTCTGGAACGGCAGACAAGGATCTTTTTACTCAGAATAAGACAAACTTTCGTAATTTACAATCAAACCTTTGCCTGCGATCAGGTCGATTTTTGGGTCCTGGCTTCAGGGCTACTAGACTTGGTGTGTTGAGGTTTTCATTTTTATAAATTAAGGCAATCCAGTCACTCTAGAGATAACGAAGGAGAAACTCTAAAATATTAGGACAGTTTTAATTGTTCTCAGAATAAAGAAAATAACACTGAATATGGAGGACTCAATTAAGACTTGAAAATGGCCTTAGTGTTGGCCAAAACATTGTCGAGATAAAATAAACAACAAATAAATAAAATGTAGGTGGAATATGGCCTTAATTTATAAAAATGTAAAACAATTATTTCTGAAATAAATCCAGTTTTGAACTACCTTATAAACTCAAAAATATAGAAAATACACAATCTTTAAACATAATAATATAAAATTATGTCTATCCTTCACCTACCTTCCTAATATCCCACCACTCTTTAACCAGCTAATCGCAATGACCAGTTACCTTTGATTACCTCCCTACCTATTGCATATAACATAATAAATCCGTCTTTTAATGTGAATTAAGACAACTGTATTGTGACTGCCTGGTAGTTGAAATGCTACCAAGAACATCCACCATGTGGAATAAAGTAGAAACTATAGTGAAGAGTGGAAGTGAACTGTTATTTTATAGTTCAATGGAGTGATTCTATATCTACTAACAAGACCAGTTCCAAGCTCTGAGAAAAAAAAATCACAGTTCTGAAAGAATAAAATAACAGTGATTTTCCTGAAGCTGTCACAAGTCTGAACTGTGATATAAAATATCTGTAACACCCCATCATAACAAACTCTATTAATATTAACACTAGATTTATATACAAGAACTATTGTAGATTAGAGTAAGGTTGACTTGCCACCGAAAGCACAGCTGAGCGTAGCAAGAGGATGTAGGCCGTCCGTGTTGTCCTCCACTTGCATATTCTCAATATTTCATCCATAAATATTATGAACAGGAGAGGACTAAGGCTGTCACCCTGTCTAACACCCCTCTCATGGCGAAGGCCTCGGACATTGTAACTACTCCTTTGGAGTCATGGTAGGTAGATTTTATGATACTAATTAATTCTGTCGGAACATTTTTAGTGGCTAAAGCTTTCCATATTTCCTATCTGGGGACGGAATCGAATGCTGCCTTTATGTACAGAAACACCAAGTACAGACTTTCCTCTATCCCATGAATTTTAATAATTATCTTGAGAGAGATGTGGTCCTGTGTTTGACGTTGGGGTCTAAAAGCAGCTTGCTCCTCTTCCGATTTACCTTCAACATTTAGTCAGAGTTTTCTTTCCAGTATGGAGGAGTAAAGTTTATAGACTACCGAGGATAGACATATAGGCCTATAGTTTTGGCATTCATTTGAGCTTCCTTTCTTGTGGATCAGTATGATGATGTTGTATCCCCATTCCTCAGGCAAGAAAATAAATTAGAAGAAAATATATTCTGAAACTGGCCCTGTAATGCTTTCTGTAATTGTGGACCTTCAAATTTTTTAAGTTTTGGAGCAATATCATCTTTGCCTGCTGCTTTGGCAATCTTCATTTTCTCTATAGCCCATATGACATCCTCCTCCCAGGTCATGTCATCATATACTTTTGTTAGTGTTTCCTGCCTTTCTTCCACTCTCTCTTCCGAGCCGCCAGAGAACAATGCAGAATAATGGTGCCGTCATCTCTCCAACATCATCTTCAGTAATTATTTGCCCTAATTCATCCTTAACATTTCTAATAGGTTTTCTCGCCTTTTCTTTCATTGATTTAATTATTTTCTAGAAAATCTTGGTATTTTCCTGATAATCATTTTGCAGACTTCTACCGAATTTTTCCCAACTCTTCCTCTTGGCCATACGGACAACCATTTTTGCTTCTTTTATTCTTCTGACATAGATGATGGCAACAACTTCCTTGGAACCCAGCTGGTACTACTGAGTAGATAAGCTCATGGATCTTGTTTAGGCGTACTTCACCGTGTCCTTTTTTCCTCACTTCACAAATTCCTAGGAGGTCTACCCTGAACGTCTCCATCTCTTTTACCAGTTCAACCTCATTGCCAACTAAAGTCTTGATATTCCATGTTCCAAGTCTAATATCCTTGCCGTGTCGTAACCGTTCAGACTGTCCGAATCCGAGGCTATTTGATATACTCTGAATCAGTTGAGCTCTACTACGGGTGATTGGTCCAGTAGGAGAGGCCCAGTAGGAGAAATGTAATGAATGTATATTTAATTAAGCTGGACATTCTACAATACTTTTTGAAATAAAAAACAAGATCTAAAAAAATTAAAAAATGGATGATGAATGAAAAGAGTTGACAGATTCTGATTCAGAAAAAGGGATTGAAAATGGATAGTAATGATTATCAAGGAATCTAATTTTTCTGATACATTTTAAAATATTTATGTTAATCCAAATTAAATGAATGGTGAAATGTGCCACGGAAATTATCAAAGATTATAAATATGGTTTTATATAAACTGTTCCAACAATTAAACTAATATTATTCTTTTAACTAATATTTAAAAACGAATTAAAATAAAACATTGTAGGTATTCAGCTTTATTTCAATTCCAAAAAGGCGCACATGATTCCATTGCCACTAAAAGCTGTAAAATATGAAAAAGATGTGTTTTCTGAAATAATTAATAAAGTTTGAATCATTTTGTTATCGGAAGTTCGAAGTTCACTCAGTTTTATAAGATTACCCTCTTTTCCCAGTTTTATTTTTCCTATTCAACATTATAATATTTCATTAGAAAAGTAATATGTATGTAATAGTTTTATAGGTTTAAAACAGAATAAAATAATTAAGTCAGAATACCTATCCATTGATAATGGCGTGGATGTCAATAGTTTATTCAACATCTGATGAGCAGAAAATGGTGTTGATTCCTCTTTTCCCCAACCAAGAACTCTAGACAGATCATTTCCAGTACCAAGTGGTACAATCCCAACTCGAAAATCACACTGGAATTAGAATAGCTATTTTATTTATATTTCATGATAAATATTAAAAAAATATTTTTTTTCTAATTATAGAATGATAATTATAGTCCTCAAAGAAATAATAGATAATAATATTTAGAACATTATTAACTGGTCAAATCTGGGTAATTTTTACAAACATTCACAGAAGACAAGATCTTCAAGGTAATATTAAAAGTTTATTAGGATTTAAAGACTATAAAAAATAATAAGGTGTACTGAATGCAGAGGAATGATGGATACTACTAAAGAGTTGTGGTTTTGTATTATTATTGAAAAATAAATCAATAAGATAGGATAAAATATTCCTGTGCACACCTCAGTATACTCTTAAGGCAAGTGTTAGGAATCAAAAGTGATATTTATGTTATAAATATTTAAAAGTTTCACATATTGTTGAAATAAGCATATGTGAATAATCATTGTTGTTCTAAAAATCAAAAAAGGTTTAAAATCTCTGTTTAAAGTTTTAGTGAAATAAAACCAAGTTTATTTACAAAAATAGAGTATTCAACATTATTCTAGTTCGAACCTAGGGATCAGTTATAACCGTTAGTTACATATTTGACCCCTAACCTGAACAGCTAGGCACAACTTAGCTGTATAAGATATAACTTGCTGAAGGTCATTCAACCTCATGGTGCTAGGAACGTCATGGTCTCCATGCTACAGCGGCAAGCCATCCATAGTTCCATAGCCAATCCCATTCAGGCCAATCTAGCAGTGTATTCACCGACACACTCAGGTTCTAGGAATCTGGGGACTATGGCTGTTTAAAGTCAGCAGGAGTACAAGGACTTATATTTCTATCTCTGAAACAGACAAAAACCTCTGGAGGCTAATGATATCCTGGAAAACCACGTCCCCATTCCTGATTAAGGTACACGGAGTAAGGACATCATTCCTATGCCTAGTCGGTGTGAATCACCTCCTATAGACTGATGGTCCTCACATACCTAGGAGGAGGTGGAAAGGATGAATCTTGGACAGTGTGACTTTCCCTGATGCACAGTCGCCCGATTTGGGTGGTTATCCATACAAATACTTACGATGTTCGAAATTGCTTAACTTAATGTTAGCACAAAGAAAATAAATATAATTTACTTCCAATGACTGAAAATCTCTAACAAACTTCTCTTATTTAAATAAAAAAACACTACAAATTATGTTTTTCTATATAAATTACAAAGGTTCATTATTGGAAATAATAAATCAAAATCATTGTATCTGGAATAAAAATTATAACAAATAAAACAGAAATATGATTAGAAAAATTGTGGTAGGAATTAAGATTATACTTTATATTGTGTCACTCAAATGGCTAACCTGAACATAATTGCTAAATATTTACAATTTAGCCCTGTTTCTGTTCATACAAACTCTCTTACAAGAAGGCTCTTTCATTCTTTTAACTTCCAAGATTAGCTACCCAACAATTTATGAAGATATTAAAACTTGTGAAATTTTCAGTGAATCATGCAATGTGAAAAGTCATCAACTTTTATTGTTTTTACTTTCCTATATATGTAATATATAGTAAGGGAAAGTATTGCTATTCTGAAAATTTTTCAATTTGAGTTTTCAACGGAAATACATATTTTGAGGTCTCCTGAGTCCAAATAACGAAGTCGTGAAAAATGGTCTATGTGTGTGTGTTATCAGCCTAGCTTGAAAACAAAAAGACATATGAAACTGGTATTATGTATGCCTGGTATGTTGCAGCCACTTCTTCCTGAAAATTAGCTAACCAGAACTTCATATTATCAAGTTCACAAATTTTTAAGATTTACTCAAAAGTGGCTCTAGCGATTTTGATTAAACTTGGTACATCATTGTACAATTAAATGAATTTTAATATCATTTTGGTCTTATCCTCATTGATGATGCTTAAATTAAAATTTCTTCCTCTAAAGTCAATAAATAAATATAATAAATAATAAATAAATATATTTATTCCTCTAAAGACAATTGCCCTCTATTTGTTCATTATAACTATTCTTAGGGGACTATTATGAATTTTCGGAAATATTAGTCAGATGGTATACATACAATATATTGTTGAAAAGCTGAGAATTTTAGAAAAAACAATATCGAATATAGAATATCGAAGAAGGTAATGGAGAGGGGCAAAAAAATTATAAATAATAATTTCTGAAAATTAATATTATTTTATGGAAACCACATGTTTTCAACGAAATAAAATGAAATTTAATAACTAAATATAATTAAATGTAAACTTTTAAAATTATCTTTAAGAATGAAAAAGTATATTAAATCCAAACAATCAAGGCAATGACAATGTTACAAAAAAACTTTGTCATTGTACTTGTATTAAAGAAGAAGTGAAATATAAAAATATTTCATGGATGTTTAAATATCTATTTAATACATTTACTGTGGTCAAATAACTCTAGATCTGATCGCATATTTAAATAATTAGATATCTATCTTCAGTTAATTTCGAAAAATCATCATAATGATGATTACATGTAACATTTTATAAAATTAAATTAGAGAATAATTTGATGTATTTTCTCTCTGTGAAATCACAACATTATTCACTTAAAATTAGTATGACAACTGTTGACTTACCTATGGTAGGCAATGAAAATCTCATAACTACAGTTTAGTAAACTTTATAATGGAAAAATAACTAATAGTAGTACAATTCATAATCATTTATAGGTTCAATATACTAATGTACTTTCAAATCTCTCTAGGCATATACATATAGCTCAGAGACTGGGACTGGAGTTATCTGGTTGACAAAAACAGATATTGAGATACGATTGAGTTACACATAATTATAAACAGATTAAGTTACGAGGTTTTTATTGTCTACTGCCCATATAATAAATAGAGTATGTGCTATTTTAATGCCCTAATGAGTTGTTACAGGTTAGCTATAAGGTTTAAATCTATTAAAAATGCACTTCATAAACTTAGATATAGCCCAATTATGCCACAAAATTATTTCTATTTTAAGTAGAGAGATAAGTAAAAGATGTGCGCACACCCAATATTTTTTTATTGATAATCACTTTTTCAACATGACTTTTGATGAACTATTTATTTCAAAGGATTTCTTTCCTTCTTACATTATTTTTTTTTCATGTACGATTATAATCGCTTGTGTTTTGGTATGAATGTACAAAAACATGTTGTAAACAATTCCTCATACTTAACAACTTAAAAAGTATTTGTCTCGCCAACTTAGGTTCTATTGTTGATTCAAATGTGGACTCCATTCTCCAAAATGTAGAAGATATCAAGTTCAAAGCCATGTTTTTACCACAAAAAATAAACAAAAAAAAAACAATCAGTAAGCTGTCAAAAACATACAAATCTAATATTCCCAAACAAAAAGCCAATGTCAAGTTCAAAGTCGTGCTTTCAACAATAAAATCAGTCCGTAAGCTGTTAAAACAATACAAATCAACTATTCAAAACAAGAAAGTCAATATAGAATCCACAGAATCACCAACAAGAAGAAACTCGAATACAACACAGACTTGAAAACGACATTGAGCAAATAACTTAAAGATCTATAAACAATAATAAAATAATCTTCTACAAGTACTATTCTTAGGCCAAGTGTGATAGCCATTGCATGTTGAGGCGTTGCCCCAACATAGTGCCTTGTGAGTTCGCCCTCAGGATGCCAACTAATTTTGGGTGCACTATAGATAATTTCAATTGAAAAATAAGAGAAAGGTTAATTAATAGTTATCATATACCTTAATATTGTTACGGTTCTTATACAGCAGAGTTAAAATAGAAGCCACAGTTCCATCTCCACCAGCTATAAGTATGATCGGTTTACTTGATTGAGGTAACAAAGTAAGTATGTAAACCAATCTTTTCAGAGAGTGAGGAGAAAGTTCCAAAGTCTGCAAAGGATTGAAGAGAGATCGGAATCTGCTGAGAATTTCTTCACCTGCTTTCGACCCAGAACTTTTATTTGCTAAATTTATAACAAAAAAACATTGTTAAATAACACATTACTAATAACAGCATGTTGTAAGTAAGACACAAACTAAAATTTGGTATCATTTCCATCATCTTCCTTATGTGTTCATAAGTAGCTATTGGCCAATAAATTATAAATTGAAACATATTTATTGTATTTACTATTTAACACTGATTTTGGGAAAGATGGACTTAAATTGTAATTAGCATGTCTTCTTGCCCAAATAAGCCGATTTTCTCATTGTTAGAAATGGATTAATTCTCAGATGATTATAAATTTAATAGACTTTTTTTGGTAAGGAAAACATAAAAATGTTTTACTTTTTCATAAAAATTAGGCATTAAGCTTATTTAAAATAACTCAGATGATATATGATACATGACCGCATAATTTCTCAATTTCATTGAAGACAAAAAATTAAGCGAACAGTTAAATATTTCACAATAGACTGAAAGATTTGGCATGAAAATGAAACAGAATGTTTACATAATACTTAACACTCCAAGAACGAGCATGTCTCTATGATCACACCAAACCTCCTCCCATCTCAAAAGAACACTTTGCCCTCCCACTCCTAGCCTCTTATTCAGCTTTACTTTTGCAGCCATCTTGATAAAAAGATATCAGTGTTGATTTGTGACTACAAAAGTGACAACTGAAGTACCTCTGACCACAGAAGAAATATCTGAAGTTTGTCATATCAAGAGAATATGTTTTGATCTATGATCAGTGTTGCAATTTTAGTACTAATATTTTCTAATAGATAATATCATAAACTAAAACTCTTAAATGTTGTATTTGCTTTGGTAGGAGTTTCATAAGAAAAGAATCGTTCCTTAGTTTTTTATATGGCAACAACAATGGAGTAAGAACAAATTATCATGATTGTTTATCCTTATGACAATAATTTTGAACTGCCAATGTAACAAAAATTTTTATCATTTATTAAAAATAAATAAATCTCCATAATTAATCGTTTTCAAAAATTCTAATAGAAATGAGATAGCAGTATTGTTATTTTAACATTTGTCGCAAATTATTACTTGCTATACTAAACTAATTTTTATACTTAATTACTACTACTTTTAAACCAGGACAGATACAATGCAGTACTTAAGTTGATCACAGCAACACAATTCTCATTATGACTGAGCCAGATAGTGAAGGTGACAATAATGTTACATTAACAACAAATCTAAAACACACAGAGAAACAATTTCACCTGGCTATGGCGAAACCTTGTGACCGCTTATAGGCATGTAATGATGATTTTGTGGGTAAAAAGCAAGGAATATTAATAATTAATAAGGAAATTATTAAATTTGATGGCTCAAATTTGTCAGCGAAATCACATAACGTACGAACTGATACAATTATAAACTGAGTTAAAAGTGTTACAATTATGGATAATTGTTAAAAAGTTTCTTAATCTGTAACTTATGAATATAATTATGATTTTTATTATCTATTGGAATAAGAAAGCTGTAATTTCTAAATCATAATAAGTAAATATATTCACCTATAACGAAAACCGGTGACCAATCCACTATGTTTGGATCAGAAATAGAACGAAGTTTGAAACCTCCACGAACCATCCTAGACTTCTTTTTACTGATTTCAACATGGGTCGGAGGAATTATTACTTGACGAAGTTTTCCAAAATCGCAAACCTAAAGTTAATGTAAAGTAAAAAATAAGTTTATCAATTTTTACAAGAATGTGCAAAAAAATTAGAAAACATAAAATAAGAAAATGCAAATATTGTTGAAAAAAAAATTTAATAGCTTAGATTAGAGCTAATGCTTGATGATTCTTAGAGAAAGTATAACTTTATTTTTTTCTTGAATGAAAATTTCAGAATTCCAACATATATATTGAAAATTTCCATTTAAGATCTTACGAGATACCAATTTAAGAATATCTGTAATTTAATGATGAATCGATCTACAAATTTATTTTAAATAATATTATTTCTATAAATGTAATTGATTGATAATCATTTATAGTACCTACCTCACCTAAAAATAATTGACAACGTATGTGTACTGTTTTATGACACCAAATACATCTCTTCCATTTCCAGTCTTTTGAATAATCTTCAGAACAAACTTCACAACCAACTTCAATTGGAAAATTACCTACAGATGTAAAATAATATAATTTTAATTTATTTCAAATTAACATCAGGTAAAACAATAATCAATAGCAATAAAAATAGTGACAATTTCAATGATGTAGATGTAGAAGGAAATAGATCTGAACATGTAGAGAAGTTTAGATATTTAGGATCTACTACAACTTGAAAAAACAAAATTGGAGAGGACATAAAGGCTAAGTTGCATACGGAGAACATGAATATTTTTTTGTGTAATACTGTATAAATGTCACTCCACTTCCATCAGTAGTACCGATTTCATGATCACACCATAACTGGAATCATGAGACTGGCCAAGTGTGTCCATAAGTATTGGGAAGTGAATGAACCATCTGTTAAGCCCCCGAACACAACTGAAATGAACCCATAGGTATTTGTCTATCTTTTTTCTGCGAGCATAAGTCAAAAGTAGCAATTAATTAAAATTAATTATGGCCCTGATTTTCCCTGAAAAGGACTAGGAGTTTGCCGAAGTTGCAAATCATGATCTGAATAAATACTATGTGGTTATACTATGAACAGATTGTTAATCATTGGCTATTTTCAAAATTCTATTTATACCACGAACATGGGATCTTGGCTCAATGGATGAGGTGGAATGGCATTTGTAGTCTAACATTTTTCTGTTGCAAAACTATTCAGCTTGTGCCTTCTGTCCCGAAACTTAAAAATTAGAATTTATGAAACTATTATTCTTCCTACAGTTCTTTATGGATGCGAAGTGTGGCTGCTTACATTAAGGGATGAGCAATGTCTTAAAATTTTTGAAAATAAAGTATAGCGCAGAATAATCAAACTGAAGAAGGATGGGTCAATATGCAACGAGCTGACTCGTAAATGTCTGATGAAAAGCAAAACGGGGATTGCATTGATGCTGACCTGACAAGGTTGGGTATAGATAGTGATTAGTTGACAGAAGTATGTAGAGAATGGTGGCCTTGGTATCGAACCTTCAGGCTCGCCAAGTCTTTATTATTAATTAAACCAATATCCAATCATGAAAATTATTCAAATGGTAAAATGTTTAGAATAACATAGTTCAATATGTTTACTAATACTTTGAATATCTTATATGAATAGAAAACTTTGATAAAACTGAAATACCCTCTATCCATCTGTGCTTAAATGGTTGCTGAGAATCCAAAGAAACTTCCTTACAAAGAAAACTAGCACCAACAGTATCCATACATGGACCATCAGCACTCAAACCACAAGTATCACAAACAACTCCCTTGACGAGGAGTGTGTGGCAACCACTACAGCGATATGACTAAAAAGAAATGCTTAAATCAATAGTTACAAGTTAAAATAAACTCTAAGATATACAATTTTGCCATCTTAAGTACAATACCTTGGTAAAGTCAGAAACAGATTGCCAATTGTGTTTTTTGTCATTTAGATTCAAATGAGATTCACGACCATACTTTTCTTGTAAGCTAAGAAATATCACAAAAGCAAACAACAAGATAACAGGTAAAATAATATTAGCTGATGCACTTTCCCAAATAGCTATGTCATCCATTATGAAGTCATTGATTAATAATCGGTGATAAATATCAAAACGAGATTTCCGACGAGCGAGGATATTTCTTTTTGTAAGTATAATAAGTATTAAAAACAACTGCCATAATCAATGTAGTTGTCAAACCGATCGATAACCATTATTAAAAACCTGTAATCAACTTATAAATCCCAAAATGTTGCACTTCAATAAGGACATAAGATTCGAATTGTCTGCAAGGAACAAAAGAATAGAAAATGTTATCGTTAAAGGATATATTTAAAATTAAATCTCATGAACAGATTTCAAAATTGTCATAGGTCATAGTAAACAAACAGTTTAGCCAACACTTGTCAGCTGATATGTCAAATTTCTTGTTTATCCTAAACTATAAAAAACGCTGTAATAAACTATAATTTATTTTGAAAAATATTTAATTACAAATTTTATTTGTTTAAAAATAAAGTAAATTATTTTTTAAGCATTAAAAATTAAGTATTTACATTATTTACTTTTATAATTTTATGTCTGAAACTCAAATATACAATTACAAAATTATAAATTTAAAATATTGTTCATTATCATAAATTTAAATTATTTTTTATACTAGACTGAAAAGATGTATCACGGATGTTTAATTTATTATGAACTGATGACGTAGCTGAACGAAACTTGGTAACGAAACAAAGCTCAGTGTGGGCCAAGCTGTCTTGTGTAGTAGTGGTATAGTTTTAGTTACCTATGTTTTCATCGTACTTAAACTCGTAAGGAAAAAACCCGCCCAAATGGACTTCTCTTCCATTTATATGTTTTCATTTCTCTCACCAATTATTAATTGTAAACGAATTTATTTATTAGTTTGGTTTACTGGCTGAATTTTTACTGGATTATATTCAGATATTACAATAGTAAGTATTATTTTTATTATGTGACAATGATTTTATTATTACTCTTTTGTCATTCTATCAAAATTATTAATATTTTGTTCTTCTGAAATGTTTAACATTATTCCTATGACTTTTTTTAATTTCACTCTAGGTACATTGTCAGCTCATATTTTTTTAATAAACATACCTGGTTCAATAAGAAAATTCTGTGACATAAGGTTTGACATTTCAATTGATCTCCAGCTGAAGAAATTATAATTTTTTTAGCTTCTAAAATTATTCTTGAATGTTTTTTTTTTTCTACAATAAACAGCTATATTTATTATTATCGATCTATATTTTGTTTTGTTCAAAACTTTATCTATATATCTCGTTTATGATATCATTGTTCATTTGATTATATGCTTATAATAAATGGGTAATCGTTTAGTCCAATTATATTGATGCATATTTAAATTTTCATGTTTTGTAGATTAATAATCGTGTTGATTTATTAAAAATTACTTTTATATTTTATGTCTCATTCTGAAGAGTGCATATCAACATAATTTCCTCTTATTGTTAGTAAGTTCTTCATTTGTAACCCCGCTCATTTACATTAACTAATTTTAAAGATTTTATCTGACATGTTTTCTTGACCATGAACTTTTTTAATTCAATTGTATTGTATATTTAATTATTTCATATTGTTTTCGGGTTAATCTGTAATTTTCCAGTACAAAATATAGCTTATCGGTTTTAATTACCTCGTTAAAATAAAAATAAACCAATATTTTTAACATTGAATACAAAACGACTAATTGGTTGTTATTTATGAAGTTTACTGTCTTTTGATTTTTTAGTTTGTTTCACTTATGTGATGTATTCCCTCATCATGCATCTCAACTTAATCATTTCAGAGCTACCGCGAATTATGAAGTACAATTATTACTTGGAGTCAAGAAATGGGAAAACTGATATTTTGCGGATCTTACCTAACCGTAATGAGTTATTACATCTTTTTGGAGATGCAGAATAAAATGAAGATCAAAATATGACTAGGGGTTGGCTCTGTTTCATTATGAATCAGTTCAGATCAATAGTGAATCAGTTTATGAGCTAAGGAGAGATTGTCTATCTATAGTATCTGTATTTGTATCGTTTACAATTCAGTCATTGAAAGACTTACTAAGACTGATAAAAGAAGCAGAGAATGAACTCACTAGTGAATGGAGATAAAACAAAATATATGATATATCAACAATCATCAAAATATATCAACCTTAACAACAGAATCTGCGTAAAAAAAATATCGTTCTCGGACTGACAGATTTCAACACCACAACCCCACAATTACTTCAGTATATGACCAACTATCAGAGATAGACCATCGCATAACTCGTTCAAACAAAACTTTCTTGTCTTCTTCAATTGTTCTGAAATTAAGTGTGTACCTCGCTATTATAAAACCAGTTCTGATATACGGTTTACAATTCTGGACACTAACTAGCACCGTAGAAAGAAACACCGTAAGAGTTGAGCTTCAGATAATCGGAGTGATCTTGGGTCAGAGTAGACAAGAACCAACAAAAACTGTTGGTGAGAAAATGACCAGTCCATATCTCATGATATACGCAGGCACCACATCTAGTTATTTTTCCATAGTCGCTAATGAAGTGGCGTTAAAGCGGAATTATTCTGAGGCAACATGTAGCATGCGGCATTGACGCATGCTGCACACAGTCTTTCCATAGAAGGAACACAAAAAATATGTTTCCTTGCCGCATGCTACAAGTTGACCGTATTTGTCTGTCGAATGCATCATTTCTGCACATGATTCAACGTGTCGAACATTGTCGTCGTCTATCCAACAGCCCTCGGATCGGTGCGGTTTGTAGCGGGCTACCTGGCGTGGACGAACGAAAAACTACGTATTTTATTGACGATTTTCCGAATTATGGAATATTAAAATCGCCTAATATAAAGATATAAGAACTAAAACTATATGTTAAAATAATTATTGGAAATATATAATTATTATACGGTGATGCAGGTAAAAGTAATTGGTTTATTTATTAATCGTAAATAGGAATATATAATGATACGGTGATAGAGTTAAAAAATGATTAAGAATTTGACAGCAGTTCATCGCGAGCGTAAAAAACTTCAACAAAAAAAGAATGGCTCATCTAGCGAAAACGGGAAATGGTTTGCTTATGAGCTTCTGAATTTTTTATTGGACGTCGATGAACCCAAATCAATATTGTCAACTGCTGAGTGTTTCGGCGATGACACGATGATGAAGATCAGTGATTTCACAAAATACAAGCGACCCAAATAGTCCGAGAGCCCAGGAGAAAAAATCTACATTATTTGATAAAAACATTAAAACCATTTTTTGAATATTTATAACTTCTTTATTTTAAAAAATGAGAGTTTTTATTTAATTAAATAAATAATGCGCAACAAATTCCGCATGCGAAATCAATTGAATTTTGTGCTACATAGTTGTACGGCACAAATAGGCAATACTAAGATACAAGTATCAAGCTACATGTAGTTCCGTATTGCCTCAGTGGAATTTTGCCATTAAAAGACTCGTTGCCATACCATTCCGTCCAAACCCATTCGGCTATGGTGTCGAATAATTAAAACTAGTAGGCCGTGCAAAAAAATTCACACAACATTGGTCAGTGATCAAATGACAAAATAATAAGAAAATCTATCATAAGATGGAGGAATCAATTCTTATTTTCTCGGTAATTGTAATCTGCCAAGGAAAGAAATTTAACTTAAAACTTCATTCATGTTTTGAACGGACATATTTACTAATTTCAATAAACTGTATTTTTTCTAGAAATAGCCCGATTTCATTTTTTTTTTTTTTTTTCGTTGCGTAGGAAAATTACTAGTGGGTGCTATCAACAAAGAATTGTATAAGTTTTGAGTTATTCGCAAATAAAATTTCTTTTCCTTCATAAAGTGTTTCCTGAAATTTTGAGGTAAGATGTGACTATCTTTCCCACCTGAAGGAACTTCAAAATGATGGATCAATCTTGTGATTTGATGAACAATTAACGAAGATATGGCTTACCGACAGCTATTCTCTAGATCATGGGGACCTCGTCGACAACATGAGACATGTCTCCCATGGCGTGAGGTTGTGTGGCTGCGATCGCTTGCTATTGTTCGAAAATGGTACATTTTTGGGGTTGAATTGATAATTCCGTTCCAATATTGAAGACTAGCAAAAAGTTTATATTGACTATTCATTTTTAAAAAGAAAAACATAAGCGATAACTCTCCGTGAAATTCTGAATCCTACAGTACCCCATTCATGGCATTTGAGCATGACAGAAACTTATATTTGGCACTAAACCGATTTCATTGAATCTTACTGTATTCTATTGTATTACTGTATTATCATATAATCACCTTATATCTCTTTTCTAACTTTCTGCTTATTTAAGTTATCTCACTGTAATAATATACATGGGGATTAATTATTTTATATGCTTAGGCAAAACATAAACATACAACAGGCAGGCAGAATTCAATTTAAAAATATTTTTGTTTGGGTTATTCTTGTTCATGTTATTATAAACTATATTCTTTGCCTCCTTGATTCAATTTACATTCGTTTAAATTGAATTTATTTTAAATGGAGAATAAACTTTGATTCATTCCTAAATGCTTATTGAGTAATTTTAGTTTGAATTATACCTAAGTTTAATTTTGTTCTCAGGTTTATTGGTTTATTATTTTCAGTAATGAACCATTGCAATCGTCTAAAAAATTCACAGATTTATCTTCTCCCTCCACAAAAATTGAAGTTTTACAATTTAAAATATGCACAATTCGAAAATCGAATAAAAAAATTTGTTCGTCCGCCGCCCGCGTCTTATCTCCTAGACGGATCAGTCTACTGACTGATTTATTTCAAATTGGGAATCAAAGTCAGAGGTCACCCGAGAATTATCCCCTTACCTCGACATTACTATCCGCCTTTTCCTTTCAAGATGGCGGCCGAAAAACTTTTGTTCGTACAGACTGTGCTCCTAAACGAAGGTACATATTACAATGCCACTTGGATAAAGTCTTCTCTTCGATGCCCTTTAAATTTATCTATTTAACGTACTTACGTGCAACAAAAAGATGCTGGAAATAAAGTTACTAGGGATGGTAAAATTAGATTTCTGAGTAGTTAAAGAGGTATACACTTCTTTTTTTGTTGATACTACTTGAAACTATGATTCATATTCTATCCGTTCTCTCCTTGAAAGAAACTGATAGAAAACATTGTTCACATTTCTGAGCGTCCCTTTTCCTTTGTTTAGGAACAAAGGACATTCTGGTCTGATTGTAGACCAGAATGCTCTATTATTCAGAAGTATACCGGTTGAATTAGTACAAATACTAATAGCATGATTTTTTTCTGGCCTGCTGTCTAAGCCAGCTTAATAGGAGTCTGATACAGCAAAAATATTTATACTGTCATCAAAAATAAAGCAAGAAGAATGTAGATGTGAATAAGAGTTGTAAATAAAAAAAAGTTCAAGCTCAATTGTTATTATAAAAACCACTTAAGTAATTATTATATAGTATTATTATTCCGAAATAAAAAAATAAAAGTTTTGGATTGAATTTGATGGAATTGATACCAAATTGGTCACTTTTTCACCATTCTCTAACTTTACTTCAACTTGGAGCTATCGAACGAATCGTTTTTTAAATATTGGCGTATCAATTAAAGTACTTCTATGCATCCTAAAAAGCCAAAGGAATGATTGGAATTTGATTAAATTGATAGAACGTAATTTTTTTATTAATCCCTGAAATTATTCTCACATTGAGTCAAATCTAACAAAATATTTTTGTAATGTAGGCGTGTTTAAGAAAATACATTTGCACATTCATAAGAAAATAATGAATGGAAATTGATATGAGACCATGCAGATACCAACTATACAATACGTGAAAATTTTATTTCAAACAGAATAACTTAAGTGATAGGCCCATCATATGGATTCGACTACTGATAA